GGGTATCCGTTCCAGGACCCTCATGGCCGAGGCCCAGCTTCTAGGCTCCTGGGCAGAGACCAACCTCGCCTCCATCAGGGCCAACCACATCTCAGGGGAGGCGAACTGACAGGCAGACTTCTTGAGCAGGTCAACACTGGACCACTCAGAATGGTGCCTGCACCTGGACCTTTTCAGGGAGATATTAGACAGGTTTGGGCTACCGGTCATAGACCTGTTCGCCTCTCTAGCGAACTCCCAATTCCCGAGATTCTTCTCCCGATTCCCGTCTCTTGGGGCGGAGAGAGCGGATGCTCTTCGAGGTCCATGGCCGGAGGGCCTGCTTTATGCATTTCCTCCTCTCCCTCTGATTCTGGCAGTGATACGCAAACTCCTACAGGAGAGTGTGGAGGTGCTTCTCGTAGCTCCATATTGGCCTCGGAGACGCTGGCCCTGACTGTTTCCCTCCGACAGGGACAATGAGGCTTTGGTATGTCCCATTGGTGGATTCTCCATCTCCTATGCTAGAGAAGGGGCGTTGTCTTACCTGAACGCCTTTTCTCAGCATGGAGATGGAGTATCCACTCCCCCCTTAGGCTTTGTCAGGGCCAGTGTTAGAGGTCTGGGAGCCAACACGTTGGACTGTCGTCAATAGCTTTCACCCTCATCAAGACTGGGTGTGTCCTGTTCCAGGACGGTCGTGGCAAGTTTGATTGACTTAGTCTAATGGTCAGGAAGAGAGAGCTAACCCATTGGTGGATTCTCCATCTCCATGCTGAGAAAAGGCGTTCAGGTAAGACAACGCCCCATCACAGTTATGAAAACAAGTAGTCTGATCTGATATGAAGAAGCTGCCAATGCTATTTCCTAGGATAAGATTGTAATAATTTCTTTTTAAAAAAATGCTTGGTACATAACTAATATACAAAATCTAGGTATTTATAACTAAGCATGGTGTACAACCAATGGAATCCTGTACTAGCAATCTTTGCTTAGAAAGCATGGCTGCCATTTAGCCTAAAGAAAAAGCTCTCTTGGTTTCATGTACATTTGACATGTAAAAAAGAGAGCCTTGAGGCTAAAAGTATATTACACTCTCTTCCAGAATTAGAATTCTGAAAATGTCAGTTTTGCCCTTAAAGAAATCTGAACTAGCTTGCAGCCAGCATTCAAAATGCACATGGTTGTGTGTGGCTGAAGTCAATATGCTTGTATATGTGCATGAATGAAGTGGAACAATTGGAAATCATGCATATGATTTGTACTGTAATGGAGCTTTTGGTTCCCTAAGGCAAAACAAAATTTACACAGTTTCCCAATTTCTCTGCCTCAATAATGTGCTTAGATAGCTGCTGCTATGAATACTATGAAATGTTGAAATCATAGGTCTTCTATCTCTTTGGGGAATTGCTTCTATTTGTTAAGGTTGCTTTCATGTGAATGCTGTCTACAGATGTGCTGCTCTTTGACTGTGCAGCTGTAAAGCTAAGGAAACAGACGGGCACTAACTCAGTTGAAATTGAGGCTGGCTTAATTGTCTCTGATGAATTTTATTTTTAACATAGCATTCTTGTAATCAAGCAAATTTAAAGATTACAGAGGACATTTATCCATACACATGTAAATGCATATTGCCTGACAAAAAGGGATAACCTGCCAATCATCTCCTCTAACACCTTCGATAAAACCAAGAACTTAAGGCTTAATGAAGGATCTGTATTTGAAAATATTTGCGACTCTTGTCCCTCAAGCAGTATTTGCAGGTCTCAACTGAGAATATCTCAGTTCTGTGTAAAAGCTAATCAGAATAGAAGGACTTGCATTAATTAGATCTCGGAGGCCCATAAACTGTTTTTGTCTTGTAGTACCAGTGTGATACCCTCTGCAGTGCAGGTTTATTATGCTGCATTTTTAACCATCTATCTTTGCCTTTGGTTAGTTGGCTTGTTTAAAATATATGGATAGAAAATGGCACTGTTATTTTATTAGTCTGGCTTCAGCTAATGATGACATTATAAATTGACGTTTTTGAGCTAGACAAAACCCTCCTGAAAATGCTTGCTTTTTTTTTTTTTTTTTTTTTTTGAGGATTTGTGCCTTTCAATGAAGGATGTAGCCCTTTGTGGGAGATATACATCTACGGTATCTGTCTTCACTGCTGTCTATAATATCTGAGAAGGTTCGTGAAGGGAAATTCACTAGAGGTAGCTTCGTTTTGGCTAGATTCTGGCTAAATCCACTAGAGGTAGCTCATATTGGCTAAGATTCTTGCATTGCACCAATTCATAATTGCTTGCATTTGAGTCAGGGTGGAATATAAACCTAACCATTGTGGTTGGTAAACATGGTATTAGGTGTTAAAAACTCATCAGGACTTGTTCAATAAACCATGGGTAAAGCAAACCCAGGCTAATATGATGAATCAGCTGCCGATTATCTTCTTTCGAACTATATCAATTAAACTGCATTCTCTGTTAAAATTGTGTTAATACTGTACACAGGAGAGACAAAATGCTCTCTGGAAGATGTTAATGTAGATTAAAGTTGACAGTCTTTAGTTTTAGCTGTGTTGTCAATTAGCCTGGTAGCTTAAAAAGTAGATGTTCTTCTGAGATTAAAAGGTAGGTTGAAAAATGAGTATTCACATTTAGGAAAGAAAACTTATAACCTTTCCTCCGTTCTTCTTTTCCTTCCAAACGTATAAATTGCTTTGAAGTCTTGGAAGAAAAATATGTTTTGCAAGTACATCATATAAATAAGCAATTTTGTTCCTCTTTCATTCCTCTTTTGTTCTAGTTGCTATTCAGAATTGTAATCAAGTATTTATTCTGCATTATATTATTACTTCCATTGCATCTTCTGAGTGTATGATATTGTTCTGACATTTACCAACACCATTTTATTTTTAGTTGTTGCAAAGGTGTGCAGATTCTTTGTCCTCTATGTTCAATCAGGGCACTATAGCTGCTTCTGGATCAAAATCATACATATTTATACTTATTAATTTCAAATTTTAGTATGAACTTCTTTTTGCTAAACATTTTTAACAAAAATAAATACTGAGATACATTGGAACTAAATCCGGATATGGCAGGGGAAAGCAGATGTGATTAAAGCAAAAAGAAGGAAGATTAATATTTCAGATCTGTCCAGAGTTGTTTGTGTATGTGTGTAATATTTTGTACTTCACACTCTAAACCTACCAGCTCCTGGGGAAACCTTACCTTTTTTAAAATAATGATTTTAACCAATTCCATCCAGCCTTAAAAATACAAAGCTTTCATTTTTACCTTTCAAAATGTTTCCCATGGCATTATGAGTAGGCTTTTTTTGTTGTTTTTAATAAATACTTAAATCATCTTTTGTTGTTATTTATTTTAACATTACATCTCCTGGGCCAGTTCAGATGATGGCATTGCCAACTACAACAAAACCAGCTGCCAAAGATAGGGATGTGAAATTGATGCTTTTTCTTTCTAAACACGTGCAAATAATTTCCAGAACACTGGCTGCTGAGGATCTTCTTTGCCAGAATGAAATAGGCTGGTTAACACTACCTTCTGTCTTCTAACAATTTCCCTTTCCCAATCAGGGCTCAGAGATGGGAAACTGTTTTTGAGAAAGTTGTAATTTTCAGAAATTTCTCCTATATTCCTTGATTCACTGCTGAGTCAAGTGGAGAAGCTCACTGCTTCCTTATTCCATTTCTTAATAATACCCTTTCCCCAATCTTGTATGTCTTCCTGTTTTCTTGACTGACAGCTCCTATCATTCCCAGCCTGTACCCATGTTGACTGGAGTTGATGAGAGTTGTAGACAAGTAGACAGAGAGCATCAGGTTGGGGAAATTGCTTCAGGTTGGAGGATCCCAAGGACACCTGTGTCTTCCCTGAAAATGGTCCCTGAATTGTAAATTTCAGTGTGATGTCAGAAGAAATAATTGAATATATGAAGAGTAATTCTATTAACTGTGTTTAATTGATTTAACATTAATTAAATGAAATTAAATGTTTTCTGACTTTCTCAACTTGTTGATACATAATACCATACATTAAAAAGCCAGGTACCTCCCAGCTACATCAAGGTAGTGTTCCCCTGTCATTATACCCCACATGACCAATCAACAAACAAATAAAAAAATGGATTCCAGTGTTTGATAGATCTTCCAGTTTACATCAAACATGGTGGCTTTACACCCTACAGCAGGGAATGCCAAGCTGCCATGAAGAACTGAATGGAAATAACTGGCCTCAACCTAATTACAGTTGGATGTAATTTTTTTGTGCAATACATATATAGAAATGCTCACTTGAAGGAGTGATATTGGAATTGGCCCTTGGGATCTTCCACTACCATCTGCCTGACATGGGTAAAACATAAGACCATTTGTGGACTGGCAGCGGGCTGCAGCTTTCCAGAAACTGAGCAGGATGCAGGCAGCACACGAAACCATGCCCCCTCCGGTCCATGAAAAAAGCCTCTTTCCAAGGAACCGGTCCCTGGTGCCCAAAAGGTTGGGGGCTGCTGGCCTAAACAATTCCAAATTTCTAGATGTTTCTGGAATTGCTCTTTTCATCTCACTAAAGATTTACTGGAGAATTCTTGGGTAGACTAAAGAACTTTTTATGAGCTCCGAAGAAGTGCATTGGAGTATCTGTCCTAGCTTCATTGGGAAGCTAGAATAGATAGCTGTACTTTAATTCATTTGAAGATGATTTGAATGTATTACACAAACATGAATCTTGATCAGTCACCCTTCTTAATCATATGAAATGCCATATCCATGTTCAACAGGAGGCAAGTTAAATTTTCCTTTCCCATCAACAGATACTCAAATGGCACCTAGGTTATTAAATGTGTTTGCACATGTCACTAACATTCATTGTCCTGCCTCTTTTTCATAACCAGCAGTAGAAATACTACTGCTAATTTCATTATCCATGTTTCTTTCTTTTTCAAAAATTATGCAGTTTCCGTTCATTTTGTTCATACATACTTTTTGTTTCTGTTATGTTATGTAGTCTTATACCAGTGGCTAGAAGCCGACCGCCATGGCAGGAATTCAGATACTGCAAAAAGAACATCAGGTAAAAATAAACATTAAAAAATGGGGGTTTTGCTAATTTTAACTACAGGCTTTCAGTATCCATTTCCATCTTTTCATTAAATTCTATTCATTGATTATTTACTTTAATTATTTTAATCAGCAGCTATCATCTTTTTCCTGGGGAGGTCTAAATTAGTAAACTAACTGCCATGTGCTTTTTGTTCCCTTACCAGTTCTAAATACATACACACATTTTAGTTTTACTCAGGGATTTTTGTACTTCATGCTGTTAATGGTTTGCTTAATAATGGCCTATGGAAGCCACAATTGGCTGATTCCCCATACCAGGCCCAACCATAAACCCAAATCATAGTGCTTGTGATTTAATACTTTTAAGCCAAACCCCAGTAAACCATATTTTAGCTGATATGAACCTATCTAATGTTAGAATTATGTGTTTTATTTTGTCACATTTGGGAGTTTTCATCTGGGCTGCTGATATTCTCAAGCCTGAAAGCTACAAAATGAAATCTCATTTTGCATTGATGGCAGTTGTATAGAAACTCACCAAGTCTACCATTTACACTTACTAAAAGGAAGATAGCAAACATATGGCGTTATTTATTAAAATATTTAAAACTTGCCTTTGGGCTAGCAGATTCCACTTCCACTCACAATACTAAAAATATAGCATCATTATTATTTTTAAAAAGTCCCTATAAAGGGTAATTAGTAGCAATAATCACCATACAAAGTGGAAAAGAAACTGATCAGATAATGAAATGCTCTGTAAAAAGGATTTTGTTGGGCAATCATTAGAAACAGCGGGCTAATGAATGAGGATTATGTAAGGAGCATGTCAAACAAGAAGTTTTCATTTGTATTGCCAACAAAGACTGGACTTACGGCTGGGCTCAAGATCTTGGTTGCAAAGCTCTAGATGTCTTCCAGATAGCAACCAAGAGGTACAGTAAATGTTAACTGTTTGCTTGCTTGCTATGGTCATCTGTGGTTAACTGGAGTTTTGCAGCCCAGATTGTTGCAACATTCAGGCTAAATGATCAAGTGAAAAGCTTTATGAAGTCATTCAGAAGTGAGGCCTGGAAAGTTGGCGTTTGTTTCTACAGTCTTAATAACAAAGAATTCTTAACATTAAAGAACTCGGTTTACAGCAGCAGTTCCCAATCTTTCTGGCTTCAGGGCCTGGTTTTGCACACAACCTAGATCCTGTGCATGCACAGATGAAGTTGGACAGTCCAACCTATCAAAAACAGTACTGTAAAAAGATTGGGGCTGTTGCTCTAGTCTAGGGCACAATTTCTCCATCATTGAACCAAGAGATGATAGCAAGTGATCACTTCCATAGATAAAAACCCTTGAAAAATCAATTCAAGTACAGATCCCATAACAACCGTAATTACAAAACAGAATACAGAATGAGCTCTTCTTTTCACACCACTCTTCATGCATGATGGGAAGGAGATTAATTTTTCTTTACCTAGTTTATGCAAACTATAGCTTATTCACAAAAGAACATCTGGAATCCCAGTTAGATCATGGAATGAGTTCCTGGTTTAAGAACAAATGTAATCATACTTTGCTATCTTTGGATGGAAAAGCAAAGTATGGGTTACTTCAACCTACAAGCTGAAGCTTTTAGTCTTTTCTCCTTATATGTGAAAAGGGAATACTTACACCTATAAGTCACTGTTGCTCATTCTTGTAACAACCAATAATGGTATGTTGTACCTAAATGTAGCTTAATATGCTTTTATACAGCCCCCGCCCAAGTGTAAGAAATAAAAGGCCAACTCCACCGAGAATAAGCAGAATCACTAAGATTTGTCTGTCATGACATACAAATGAAATAGTTTTCTTATTAAAAAAAAAGCCAGGGATATTTTTACACCAGTGGCAGACTGCATTTGCACAAAATTTGTGACTAACTTTAATCATAAATGAGTGGGCTGAGAAGAGTTTTGTATTTTTAATCAGCTTCTTCTTTGTGTGGTGGTACTAATCTCAGCCCTTACTGATTCAGCTTTTTCAGAACAATTTTTTTAAGTCTTTCCTTTTGTGAGTAACATTGTTTAAAATGTTTAGGATATGACATGTTTAGGAGTATGATTGGAACCTAAGAGGAAGAGAGCAGAAGTCCCTGGGGGTTATGGGAAAATATTGGTCAGTATTAGCATTACCTTTTTTAAAGTTTTTTTTTTTCTGAAATGGATTTGTGAAAGCAGCTACAGCTATAGTTAACTATCATTCTCATTATAGAAAATAATAGTACCGTAAATGAAAGCCTCTGCCAGATAATTTTCACTCAGCAGAACTGCTGGGAACCAATGCTAATTGAGCAATATGTCTAACTAGACAACAGAAAACGGATGAATGTGTGAAGGATTGCTTTTCTTTCTTTCTTGTGACTGTAGCTACTAATAGCTATGATAAACCAGCCATCTACAAGAGAATTGGTGGGGGAGAGAGAAAGGAAAGGATTCCATCCCAATCCTGTATTGAGAATGTATGCATGAAGGAATGAAGTAAAGGATGTATTTATCCATATGAGCCTTGGGTTGTGTTGTGTAAATCTGCCCATCAATTTTTAGGTGATCCTAGCCCATAAGTGAACAAAAATGCTGGTGATTATAAGGAAGGCCACTGAATGTTGTTCTGAGCTACTTGGAGGAAAATTAAATAAATGCATTATTTTAGAATTTAATAAAGTAATTCTTGCACCATTTGATTTAGCATCCAAGTCAGTATAGCAAAAGTGCTGCTAAATTTAGCCCCTACTGAATTTGATTTGATTTGTCTGGAGAATATCATCAAACACAGAGAGAATTCTATCTACCTTCCTGGAAATTTATTGAGGGCATGCTAAAATGTTATGTGCATGACTGAAAGTAATGAACAACTGAAAAAAGAAAAGCATGAATTTGATAAATATGTCTGCAAATACAAGTATTAAACAGGCACACTTAACGGGGCATTTAATTTTTTCTATGTAAAGTCTCTGAAATAACTTAATTGCACCATATATACTTGGCAAAAGACCAATTTCTATGTATTAAGTATCCTGTGTAATTCCAAGACACTATGGGCAATTGAGATTAAAGTTAGGATGAAATTAATATAATTATATTATAATAATATAATTAATAAAGTCCTAAATGAGTGGGAAAGAGAGCCAATTTGGTCTAGTGGTTTAGATCCAGGCTGGAGACCGGAAGACTGTGAGTTCTAGTCCTGCCTTGGGCATGAAAGCCAGCTGAGTTAATTCCAACAGATCAACATTCAGTTGATCTGAAAAAGTAAAGCCTGCCCTGCGGGGGCTGGGAGGTATGAGGAACGCTAGGGAGGGGGAAAAAATCCTAAACAAACCCTGCAGGGAGCGGGGAATGGAATGCTAGAGAGAAAAAAACAAATCCTAAATAATTGGAAAGGGGATTCATCTAGCTGTTGGTTTATTGCCTGCTGTGAAGAGCATCTGAAAAAAGATATTCAGTTGTTGGTTTTCTGTCTGCTACTGAAGATCCAGCTGAGAATTTGCAGCTACCAGTAATGATTCATTGCCGATAAGCAGAGAATTCTCAAATTTCCTTTCTTCTTCTGCTCCTACAATTTTTACATATTTTCTGATAATGTGGAACATAGTGGAGATATGCAATCTTTTTTTTTTTTTTTTTTTTGCACTGTGTAGAATTGTGTCAGGCTATTCAGACGGTACAACTGTAGCTCATGCTGCATTTTCAAACACTGCGATGTTTAAAATTCTCTATTGTTCACGTTCAGGTTATGTGTTTTCAGGAAAAATGCATTATCTTGTGAATACATATGACTTTCTACATATAACCAACAATGCCAGATCTATCTATCTATCTATCTATCATTAATTTTTTAAAGTCAGTGAAATAAAAATGAAAAGAATATTACATAGATAGCATAACAGTAGAATACACTAATAGAAATAAGGAAATGTTGATCTTCTAGACAGTCATTCCAGGCAGCATAAAACTGATTTAAGAGTCTACACTGGGGACAAACATTAGCCTTTCAAACTTCGCACTGACACTCTTATCTGGCTCAGACCCACCCTTTATTTTTAACTATGCAAACTGTGTAATTGACAGTTACTATCCATCCTGGGACAATATTTATGAAGCACTGCTATTTTATCTATTACTTTATTAACTACAGATAGTCCTTGACTTGCAATCATTCATTTAGTGATCATTTAGAGTTACAAAAACACTGAAAAAAGTGATTTACAACTAATCCTCACACTTATGACTATTGCAGTATCCCCAAGGTCACGTGATCAGAATTTAGGCACCTGGCAACTGACATGTATTTGTGACTGTTGCAGTGTCCCAGGGTCATGTGGTTGCCATTTGTGGTCTTCCCAACTGGCTTCCAATAAGCAAAGTCAATGGGGTAGGCCAAATTCATTTAACAACTGCATGATTCACCTGGCAAACACAATGATTTGCTTAACAGCCACGGCAAAAAGATTGTAAAATTGGGTGCAACTCACTTAAAACTGTCCTCCTTAGCAATGGAAATTCTGGTCCCAACTGTGGTCCTAAGTTGAAGACTATCTATAGTTATGATTTCATTTTTTAAAAATAGCTGATGCTTTCAATATTATTTTTTAAATTTAAAAATATATCTCCTTAAACTTACATTAAGAAGAATCGCTTCATTGAGTGGGATGAATATGGTATGCCTCTCTTTAATGATGGGTTATTCCTTTTTCCAAAAATTTCAGGTAAGTTTTTAAAAAATAAACATAGCCTTTTTAACCAGGGGATGAGCAAACTTGAAGCTTTCTTTGAAAATAGTTCATTGACGTGGTGATGATTGTTGCTTCTTAATCTATTGCAGGAGAAAATTTTGACCAGAGTCCCTTGAGAAGAACTTTCAAGTCAAAAGTTTTGGCTCACTATCCCCAAAATATAGAATGGAACCCCTTTGATCAAGATGCTGTCAATATGGTATGTAGTCCTTACCTACTGTGTCAAAGCCTGCTCTTCTTACATGTTTCAGTTCTCCTCTCTTTCCATTTCAGATGAATAGGGCATTTTGACTAAGTGAGGAGGATTAACCCATGTTTCTCTATTCACACATAAATTTGTGGCCAAAGATTGGGCTGTAATCAAATGTATGAAGTCAATACTGGATCCACACTTCATTGTAAATTATAATATTTGTTTAGCCTGACCTGTGACTCAGGCTATCCTCATAAACCATGGTTTATAAATCAGGCCACCTTGTTGAGGTTTATCCAACCAACTGATCAAAACTGTGACATACCACAAAATGTGAATTCAGTCCCTGTGTCATCTTCAGCCTGAAGAGGACTTAGAAAATACTTTCATACAGCTAAATAAAACTAAAGTGAAAGTACTTTCTAAGTCCTCCCTCCTTAAGCCTTTATTTTCTAGGGTTTTCTAGTCTTTTCCTTCAGTAGATCAGTATTTTTACATTTGTCTTAAGGCTCATTACTTATAGCAAGTCTACCATTGTTTAATACAGGGGTGTCAAACTCGCCACGTCACATGACATGTCGCAGTGTATTGCGACTTTTCCCCCATTGCTGGAGCTGGGGTGGGCGCGGTTTCAGCATGACGCATCCGGCCTGCATGCTGGCAGTTTGACACCTCTGGTCTAATAGAAAAATTTTGAACATTTGCTTCTCCATGTTATAATAATAGATAAAATATCCCTATACTTCTGTTTCATAATAAAAAATATTCCTTACAGTATAGCTTCTCATAATATCTGATTATTGTACACACCAAAAGAACTGTGAATTCTTTAATAAGATACAGGTAGCCCTCATAATCGTAATTGAGCCCACAAGTTTGATTGTAAGACACAACGGTCATAAAGTGGGTCACCATATGACCGTGCCTGATTTTATGACCTTTTTTGTGTCATTAAGCGAATATGTCAATTGTAAAATAAGTGCTGCTATCAGGCACAAAAGATCAGTCCACAGGTCCAATTAAATTGACATTGCTACTCACAGCCTATACATAGGAATCTTCTTGACTAACGGTTAGAACCTGCTTGGGATTAGGTATGGTTGAATGAAATTCAAGGAGGGTTGGACTTAGCTCACTTGTGGCTACGTAGAGATTCTAGGCTGATCCCTCTTTAAACTCTGCCACCAGGTTCTGCCATTCCTTCCCCTAGATCTGCAGTTGTTAAGGGAGCTCATGGTTTGCTATGGAGTGTTTTTTGCTGGAAACCAGAAGTAAACAATAGTTTCTGGCAAAAATGTTGTAAATCACAGTCACATTTCTGTAGGAACTGCAACCAGCCATAAATGTGGAATGGTGGCTGAGCCCCCAAAATGCAGTCACATGACTGCAGAGTGATGGTGGTAGGTGTGATAGGCTTCAAAACTTTAAATTTGGGTCGTAAGTAGCTTTTTCAGGGCCCATCATAACTTTGAGTGGTCCCTAAGTGACTGGTCATAATTTGAGGATTGCCTGTATATGCATTTATGAGGAGTGACCTAATGTCCACCAAGACACCATCAAACTACTGAAGCCTTCATATTCTTATTAACTTTTAAAGAAATTGTGACGATTTGCTAAATACCTGTGATGACTCCCCCAGATGCTTCCCTGGATACCTCTCTAGATGTCAGCTCGGGGGAGGATGAATCAGTTATCGGTGGTTCCAAGCAGCCATCTGTGTGGTAGTTGGCTGAAGCACAGCTGCAACAGACCAGTCCTGAGACTCCAGATAGGGAAAGCATGCAGCAGTAGCAGTTAAGTGAGTAGGAAGGGGAACTGCCTTCTGCACCTGATCCAAGAATATGTAGGGCAGAGAAAAGGCAGGAGCAGAGAAGGTCAGCCAGATTATTTGTGAGGAAAAAGCCTCACCCTTCTTGATGGGCTGCACCAGAAGCTGGCTATTTAACACAGCAGACAGATGGAGGCAATGTTGGGAACAATGTGTTTGTTTCCTAGCTGTGTGTTTTCTGGTAGTTGTGATTCCTGCCTTGCTTTGGATTGATACCTTGCTTTGACTTGGATCGTGCCTTGGAAACTCTGAATTTTTCTGGCCTCATGAACTCTCTTGTGTTATAGATTTAAATTTGCCTGGTGGATTTATTTTGATTGAGAAACTTTCAAGTCCCGTGTGGACTCTTTGGCCATTGCTCTGTGGACTAGCATTGGTTTGCTTGTGGCGGGTCTTAACAGGACAGTTCTCGGGTTTTGATGAAGGGAATTGCTGGAGAGTATTAATAACCTCACTAAATCACAGTTATGTTTGTGTGTGAGTGAGTGAATGGAACAGCACAATACCAGAATTCTTATTTTTTCCTTCCTGTACACAAGTTTCGTAATGTTGTAATATGGAAGGTTGAATGGTGGAAATAAGCCTTGTTGAACATGAACAGTTTTTTTAATATTAAGTGCAGAGAAATGTTGCTCATTTTTTCAGAATTAATGTTGCCATTACCTTGTATTTTTGTCTGCTTTTTATATTAGTGAATGATTTTTTTGCAGGAAAATGTTCAAATATTTTTAGGTTAATCTAGAGAAGCCTTCTGTTGTTACTAGATGCTAATTAAACTGCAGATGGTAAAACATTAATAGAAGTTGTTTAATAGAAATTAGCTAATGGAAGGGGAGCAGTTTCATTTTAGAAACTGCAATACTCTGTTTTTCTACAGAGTTACACAGTTATGCCACACATGTTTAAACTGCTTTTTTGCATATAGTGATGGCTGTTTCTTGATCTTTGATTGGGCAAAGTGCTTCAGTGAGTCCCTGTGGCATTATGGGAAATTGTCAGGGAGTAAAACTGATAATTCTATAAGCACTTGAGCAGAATGCTTTAAAAATAGGTTTTGTTCAATTATTTAAAACATTCATACACACACAGATGCATTCTTCAAGTTATATAGAGAATTAGATTTAAAGCATTAGCTTGGAAACTGGCTAGTTCCATACATTATAGTCTAATTAAGAGCAGATGTCAAAATGTCTGTGTGCTGCATCCTTGGTCTTCTTTTCTTGACTTTTGCTAATAGATAAAAGTCTGTCCTTCAGATGGTGGCAAAGGTAACATCTCCCAATTGATCAACTCTCAGATCTATACAAACTGTTTTCATTTGAGTGGTTTCATATTTTGTCAAAAAGCTCCAAGCAGTTGAATAATTAGAGTGGAAGAAGGGCTTCAGATCTCACTTGGTGTCTTCCCATTTGATGGAACCAACCCATATGTTCTTGAGGAAAAAATGGCAATGACAAATGACAGAATGTTCAAATTTCTGTTGTTACCCTTCAATCCTGCCACTCCTTCCAGCAGCATTGAGTGTGATCCAATTTGGGTTGCTTTTAGACTTGTGCTGAAGCCCTCCTCAGGGAACTTTTTTCTCGCCAGAATATCAGACAGAATTCTGGTGTGGGAGAAGTACCCTGAGGATGGGCTTCAGCATGAGTCCGAAAGCTCAGAAGACTAAACTTCTAGTCCTGGTGACTGGGATACGTATCTTTGCCTTTATTCGTGAAAATTGAGCATGCTCATTTTTCTCAATTGGGAGTTTGTTGGGTTTCCCATTGTGGTTATTTTGAGATTGTTCCAGATTTGCTGATAATTCCTCTTGTATATATCTGGTACCATTTTGGCTACTAATGATGAGCATCCAGTGGGTCAGTGTATGCATGTGTGATCCTGTCAGTCACACAAAAGTGGGCAGCACAATCACCAAAACAGCTTCATGAGTCTTCCAGGCATATGGCAGCTTTAGTACTTGATGGGTGAGGTGTTGCTGTATTGGTGCTAACAAAATTAATGAAGATCTTCTTTCAGACACTTTAACAAGTACATCGGAAAAATTGTACTGAACTCATGCTTCATTTTCCTCATCTTTTCCTATTTTCTCATGAAATATTTCCAGGAGATTGCTTTTCAAGAGAGTTTTATACAGATTAGTGCATTTGTATAACAATGAACTGGATTCCCTTTAGCTACAGTGTTTAGACATACATTTTTAATTGATATACAAAATATTTGCTACTATTAAATTATCTGGCTGTAGCTATACTTTTAGCCTTAATGCTGAATATATAATTGACATGCATGTAATATTCACACCCTTTTAAATTTTATATAATGCGCATTACTTGCTAAGGAAATAGGCTTTTTGTTAACTGCTTTCTTGAGAACTCCATAGCTAATGCACAAGGTTATAAATTAATTTTAAGAGCTGTGGCAAATTCCATCACTACACAATTATGCAAAATCAGTGGAGCTTGAGGCTGGGAATTATAACTTTTTAAGAATATTGTTTTTAATTAAATGTTAAGAAAGTGGGGTTTTTTTCATCCTGAGTGTCTTGTTAATAAGCATTATTTGCTTTATAATATAACTATGTATAGGTTAAAACATTGGGCTTGCCAACCAAAAGGTTGCCAGTTCGAGACCCAAGTACCGAATGACAGGATGAGCTCTTGTTCCTGCCCCAGCTCCTGCCAATTTAGCAGTTCAAAAGCATACAAATGCGAGTAGATAAATAGGTACCACTTCAATGGGAAGGTAACAGTATTCCATGTGCCTTTGGCGTATAATCATGTTGGCCACCTGACCATGGAAGCATCTTCTGACAACGCTGACCCCCTCAGTGAGGAAATGGAAAAGTTGAACATACTGGACAGGGACAACCTTTACCTTTATAGATTTTACAGTACAGTATGCCCATAATAGATGTTACGATGCAGCTGACAAATGTATTTTCCTCTTCTCTTCCCACAGCTATGCATGCCCAAAGGGCTATCCTTCAGGACTCAGTCTGATCAGAGAGATCCCCAGTTCCATTCATTCATTATTACTCGGGAAGATGGATCCCGCACCTATGGATTTGTACTCACATTTTTTGAGGAGGTCACGAGCAAGCAGATCTGTGCAGCCATGCAAACGCTTTATCAGATGCACAACGCAGAGCAATGCAACAGCGTCTGTGCCTCATCGTCATGCAGCATGGACTCGCTGGCCAGTAGTCTGGATGAAGGAGATTCCACATCCCTGGCCAAAATGCAGCGCTGCAACTCATACGACATCAACAGGGACACGCTCTACGTTTCCAAGTGTATATGTGTCATTGCTCCCTTGCCTTTCATGCAAGCCTGCAAGAAGTTCCTCATCCAACTTTACAAAGCGGTCACTTCTCAACAACCCCCACCTTTGCCTCTGGAAAGCTACATACATAACATTCTTTACGAAGTACCCCTTCCGCCCCCAGGAAGGTCACTCAAATTCTATGGGGTTTATGAGCCTATAGTCTGCCAGAGACCAGGGCCAAACGAGCTCCCCTTGTCTGATTATGCTCTCCGGGAAGCTTTTGAGCTGCTGGGCTTGGAGAACCTCATTCAAGTGTTTACATGTGTCCTGCTAGAAATGCAGATTCTTCTTTATTCTCAAGGTAAGTGGACTTCTCCTAATGTGACTGTGATTTTGACTTTTCTTGTCTTCCAAAATACTGACATCACCAGATATCCTTTTGTGACAATGTGGCTTTTAACACCACAATAAAGAGTGTTTTCATAAAAAGGAAAATGTGTTTTGCTGGATGGAGGAGGATGTGTCTATGGTTTCTAAAAGTTATCTCCTGTCTAGAAAACAAGCAAATCTAGTAAATAAATAAATACTGATGACTAGTGATAAATGATAAATGTCTCCCTTTTCTATGTATATAGATATTTCCATAGCACACCGGATAACCTAGCATCATTTGCCTAGCCCTAGCACCTAGAGTTATATACCTTTTCATAATGTTTTACAGCCATCTCTAAGCAGTTTACAGAGTCAGCATATTTTCCCCAACAATCTGGGGTCCTCATTTTACCAACTTCAGAAGGGTGGAAGGCTGAGTCAACCTTGAGCCAGTCAGGATCAAACTCCAGACTGTGGGCAGAATTTGTCTGCAGTACTGCATTCTAACCACTGCACCACCAGGGTTCTTTATAGTGCCATATAAGAAGACAGACAAACAGACAGGGAATCTATCAACAGAATGATAAGTAGATAAAGGGAGGGAAAGTTTGAACTGCCTACCATATGCCACCCACAAAGGTTTTTTGGCTAGGAAGGGATGTATGAATAAGATTTATTAATAATGGGTCGCTCCTGACTACAAAAGTTACAACTGCCCCTTCCCCCTGTGCAAGGTTGCAAAAGAAATAAATTTGAAATCATCTGTCAGATTCTTTGAAAACTTAACAATATTACCTGTAGGCACAAGCTAAGACAGGACATTGACACCGAAAGCAGTAACCAACTTCCAAGAAATCTATAATGGTCCAGAAGATAGGAAAATGCTTATTAATTGATAAGATCAAGGATTTATGCTCCAATGTTTTTCTGGTTTTAAATAGCTTTGTAGAGACACCTTACTTATTTTGAAAGCAATTATCCCTGACAGTGATTAGCTTCTTTAAAATAATTTTAAATGTGGAGGTTTTCTTATACCAACAAAGAATGTAATGAAGTTTGGTGGATGGAGAAGAAATATATATTTCAATAGTTTTAGAATAGTACTGTTTTGAGACTGATAATGCAGCTTCCTAGAGAGCAGTAATAAAATATGATTCCCATAAGATTGAGCTCAGAGAAGGATAAATTGAATTGTTAGTTCTGCATATACATAGAATGTAAGCGATTCTACAAATAATCTAAAGAAGAATATAGATTTTTCTAATCTTTTATTTTTAAGCCTGTCAGCCCTCCAGCTAAACCAGACAGAAAACACTACCATAGGAGCTAATGCTACTTTATTGTAAAGCTACATGAACAAAATCTTGAAAGTCTGAAGGTGCAAATCTTCTGCCTTTAACACAGTGATTCTCAACCTTTTTAATGCCGCGACCCCCACCGGTCGTAAGTCAAGGACTACTCAACCGGTCGTAAGTCGAGGACCACTCAACTGGTGCAGCACCGTTTGCAGAATGGGACTTTTGGCGGGCTCAGCAGGACAGAGACAGCCTGGACAATTCCTATTGGCTTTTGAAAGCCAATAGAATTAGACTCTATTCAAGAGAGTCTATTCTATTCAAAAGCCAATAGAATAAAAGGGAGTAGCAAAGCTAAGGAAAAGGCGAAAAAAATGGCGGACTGCGTTGTTTGGCGACCCCCGTGAAATGGTCATTCGACCCCAAATGGGGTCCCGACCCACAGGTTGAGAACCACTGCTTTAACAGCTTGGTCTGTTAGGGTGGGTCCTAGCTAACTTACTTTCTCTGACACTTAAGCCACTGGGGGTTCCTCTCTCTCTTGTCTAATGGCTGTCTTCCTTGCACCCCTCAAGGTCATTCGCAGATAACATTACAAAGCCCTTCTCTGCCCAAGAGCATTTAATAAAGTTTGGAAGCAGAGTTTCCAAAGCAGTTTAGTAAAACAAGAGAATATATCTATAAAATAGGATAAGCTTGCCAGAAGATTTCACTGGCCCCCCACCCCGGAAATACATTAAACCTTGTCAGATAACAGCAGCAACAAAAAACAATATTGCTTTTGGCCTGGTATTTTTCTCTTCCAAGAGCCTTCTGAAATTTTCTGGAGTTCCTGTCCTGATGGAAACGAAGGGAACATGGAACTCATGGCCACTGCAGAAGCCAGTGCCCTGCTTTGAAGAACTGAGGTTCTGAAAAATAAGCAGATTGGATTTTTGTTCCAGATCACACCAGCAAAAAGTATCTGAAAGCAAATATGGCCTCCTCCTCCTCCTCCTCCTCCTCCTCCTCCTCCATAGTGATGATTAGTGATGATTGGGGATACTCTTCCCCAATATGGTTGCCTCTATATTTGTAGCTCCTAGAAACCCTAGTCCACAAACCCATAGGCCAGTGTTTTTCAACCTTGGCAACTTTAAGTTATGTAGATTTCAACTCTCAGAATTCCCCAGCCAGCCATGAGTTGAAGTCAATCTATCTTAAAACTGCTGAGAAACACCTGAGATGCATAAAACTGAGAAGGTTGATTTAGGATACTGTACTTGGTGGGGTGTATGTTTGGTGACTGGCTGATAGGCTCACTGAAACTGGAGTTTAAATATATCCATTATATTTAATGGAGAACCATGGGAGAAATGCGTTTTTACACTAGCCCACACAGCGAGCAGGAAAGAATGAATGACGCTCCTGTGTATTGTCAGTGAGAACATTACAAACTTTGATTTCATTATTAATGTGCCTCAAATGGCTGAGATAATCAAAATAGCTTTCTTGTTTTTTGTAAAAGTTTATTTTGCCTGGCTTTTACTGTTCTTGGGAAGGATTAATTAGGTTGGAATTAAAGAAAATTGTGGGTTTCCAGGGTCCCCTTTCCTTGGCATTTAAATTTGAATTCCTGCATGAATGCTCATCAAACGGGTATTTTTTTTCCTATGCTGGAATCTTGGTAATGTACTCTGATGTAGAAAAGGCATAAACATGGAAAACATACAGTACTTGAGAAATAGAGTAGTTATTTTTTTTCTCATTAATGTTTCCCCAGCAGAGAGATAATGGGAAGTCATATAGCTAGTGATTTGTGATATTTACAGTACATGCATCTCAGATTGAACTGATCTGTATTTTCTGAGGTCATACTTTAGAGACATTCACATCAAAATCAGTTGTTGAAATAATATTTAAATTATCTCTTTCTCAAGCACCCATTTTGAACATTTTTGTTAAATATTCCACTAGTTTTATTTGGAACGAGACACATAGACCATTATGTTAAAGGTCTAGTGCTTATCTTGTTGTTATTTGTCTTGTTTAACATATCTATATTTAATCCATGGGTTGTACTTGAGCTTAAACTGTGAGAATTGTGTGTTCAATTAATCAAAAGGCACATTACTGCTGTAACTATTTTAAGTTTCAGAACGTGGTGCTGTTAATACCAGTGACTGGTAGTTCTTTGAACTTCAATTTGCCATGATCAGTTGGAATAAAATGCTGGCAAAATACTTGAAAAGAGAGTACTTTATGGAAATGTGTTTAAAATACATAGTAAGGATTAACCTCTGTAGTTAATTGTTATTCTGTCTTAAAGTGAATTTACATGCTGTCTAAACATTTCATAGCTTGCTTTGAATGGCAGTTCTAGAGTTAATAATTTAATCCATTTTAAACAGGGAGGGAGTTAACCTATTGCACATTAAATCAAGTCAATAAATGCCTATTACAATGTGTATCCTGTGGATTTAAAAATCGCTTTGCAGTTGCCATCTGCTGGGCATTGAAATGTATGTGGGATATTGAAAGTAACGGGATTTTAAAGACAATTCTCTTTTGGGTTTCTTTGTTTAGACTATCAGCGTCTGATGACAGTTGCAGAAGGGATTACCACCCTTCTATTCCCATTCCAGTGGCAACATGTGTATGTCCCCATCCTTCCAGCCTCACTCTTACATTTCCTGGATGCTCCTGTACCTTACTTGATGGGCCTCCAATCCAAAGAGGGAACAGATCGTTCTAAGCTGGAACTTCCTCAAGAGGTAAATGTTGTGTACAGCCCTTCATGGCTTGGGACCGGATTATCTGAAGGACCATATGAGCCACATCCACCTGACCCATTAGAGCAGGAAAGCAAAGAATGTTGCAGATCCCATCTCCTAAGGAGGTACATCTGATAGGACCTAGAACAGGGGTCGGCAAGCTGAAACACTGAAAGAGCCACTTGGACCCATTTTCCTCACAAAAGAAAAAACTGGGAGCCATATAATGTGCGCGTGCATGTGCACAGAACAGGGGGCTTGATTAAAGAGTGGAGCCTAAAGTGAGACTTGCACCGGCTCTGCCACCGTCCAGCTCCGTCCTGGCTTCTCCTCCCCTCGGAAAAGACTGCTCTCCCCCCACCCCACGCTCTCCCTCTCTGGGACTTTCTTCTTTCTGCCTTTTGGCGTGATGGTTCCCAGAGAGCATAAGAGGAGGCCAGCGGGGAGACTCCGTGCTGCCTGGCCTCATCCTCTGCCCATCCGATGTAGCTGTGGGTTGCCGACCCGTGACCTAGAAGAAGGTCTTTTCCACGGTAGCTCCTTTCCTGTGGAATATCATCCCCACAGAGATTAGTCTGGCCCCCACTTTGACACAATTGTGTAAGGCCCGGAAGACTTGGTTCTGTCAATGGTCCTGGGGAACTCAGAGTGAAATGGAACCCATCAAGTGGCTCATTTGATTGCGTGTTGTCGCCAGAGGGTGCGGAGTTATTGTTTTTTATTCTTTTATACTGGGTTTTTACTGTTAGTAATCCACCCTGAGTCCCTGAGAGTGAGTGGACGGCCATATAAATCTTTCAAATAAATAAATTAACAGCAGTATTTCCAGTGCAATGTTTGGATGAAGACTTGTTATGATTGTTTACATTGATATGAGATGGAAATTCAAATATATCTTGTGAAAGCAGAACAGTCAAGTGTCAACATTTAGACCCAGGCACTCTAATTAAAATATCTCCTCACTTCACATCCCCAGGCAGACGCACAAGAAGGTAAGTAAGAAAATTTATTGCTGGGAAATAAGAGGCCATATGTACAAAGACATCTTAACAGTACCCTATGGTCTTGTCCTCTATGTATTGTTAATTTTTAGGTTTAAAATCCTGGGCCTCTTTGGCTTCTGTTTTCTGAGCTTTGAAGGTTTCTGCCATCTGTCTGCTTATAAAATAATATTCTGGCATAACAATCAGGGATTCCCATTTCATCAGCTTCAATTCTTACAATAGGTCAATTCTTATGCATGTGCTTTGGAAGGTGCAAAAAAAATGAATGGAGCATATTAAAGCAGGTTTGACATTTCCTAGAATCATGGAGTTAACTAAAGAAAGCAGTTGCTTATTCTCCTAAAAGATGTATCCATTTTAAGGTGTTGGAAAAAGGTGCTATATATATAGATGAAACTCAGCATACTACACAGCTCTAGTAAATATTTTATGCTACAATGAAGTTGCTCCTCTTTGAGGGTTGGGAGGAAATGACAGAAGGACTTGCTGTATATTCAGATAAAGGTTTCAATGAAATCTGCATGAGTTTAGCATAGTTTACAGTTTATTCTCCCCTTCTTTTTTTCCTCCATCTGCCAAGCTGAAAAAGAGGTCAGAGATGCTTGATTTTGATTAGTTTTTTTAACCAGCATATGCAAATTCTGGTTTATTTTCCTTCTCCTATGATTTCTTCTTGATCTTCAATTTCCAGTTTGTTTGGAAGAGACCATCCAAGTTTGTTGGCTTGCAAATCACAATAAACAAATCATGGAATGTATTTCTGTGGTTTGTTTAACTGCACTATTAGCCAATTTAGGTTTTAGAAACAATTGTGTCTGCTTGTAATTAAAGGGCTATAGAAAATAAATGTTTGGTTCTAGTATTTGCTCTGAACATTGGAAGTTGGGTTAAGGCTTACAGCCTCTGTCTTAAGGAATTTTTGGGACTTTAATTTGCAAATCCTTGCAGTTATTGATTTTTGCAGGATCCAATCTGAGTCAGTCATTGGGACCAGAGTTTTAGTCTTCCAAGCTTTTGGACTCGTGCTGGAGCCCATCCTTAGGGAACCTCTTTCCTGTCCAGACTATTCTGGTCCTGGTGACCGCATCAGATTTGATCCTGCATTATTATGCTGGGACGTGTATATTTGCCTTCATTCGTTATTAATTTTTGTTGAAGCTGTTTTTATACCTATTGAGGTGGCATCTTCTCACATTAATATATATGAGGCATATCAGGCTAAGAAACTAGTATCACAAAGAAGGGAAAGAAACTGGAGACTACATTTAATAGTGAGCCTTTTAAAGCAACTTTCCAGACTTTAATGTAGGAATGCCAGGAAGCATTAGTTCAATTCTACCTTCTTTTTCTTGCTTAAGACCAGATGCTACTTCAGGGGCTAAATATAAAACCACTTGTGCATTCCGGATAAAATTCTAACAGCTGGTCTTCAGACATTCTTCAGGTTGCTACTCAGTCATCATATTGTTATGGGATGCTTTTAGAAGAGATGATCTCTTCAGATTTTCTCCCGGTTCAAATCTCATTCCGCGCTTTTAGAATATTAAATAGAGTTTAACAAGCCTTTTAAATGAACTCCTGATAGATGGTTGTCTATTAGAACTGAAACATGAGAAAGAATCACAATACTGCAGATAATTTTACTAGTGTACTTGCAAACGGATTGCCTTTCCCTAGCCAAAATAAGTATGTTAATCCTAGAGAAATCAATTCTAATATAGCCTATTAAAAATAACTTTGGAATGCTGGAGTTAGAATCTTGATGATGTGTTTTAAAAGTATTTTTCAACATTTGAACATCCTGATCAATGAAATGTTGGCCTTTAGTTCAAGCTATAATCCTTTCCCCTCTTATTAGAAGCATGTTCTCAAAAGTGGAGTTCTTTAGCATAACAATAAAACATTCATTCAAAGTCTAAAAAGAATCAGTTTTCATTGCCTTTATAAATATGTAGGTTTTATGCTACCCTTTTTCAGGTATGCTTCAGATTTAAATATGAGGGCTTGGCTTTTGGGGCAAATAAACTTACTTCAACAGTCAGTTCACTTAAAACAGGCAAATCTTGTAGTGAGTTCAGCCTAAAACATGGGTGTCAAATCTTATCACGTCACGTGACATATCATGAGGCAGCGTGACATTTTTTGCCTTTGGGGAGCCGGAGTGGGCGTGGCCTGTGCATGATGCATCTGGCCCATGGGCCGCCAGTTTGACACCCCTGGCCTAAAAGAAATAATTAGTCTTTTCCACAGCATCCCTCTATATCTGGGCTTTCACTGGTTTTATCAAAGTTCTTAATATAGTTCACTCTTTAATCCCCAACAGAGATTTACACTTCAGAGAATACATTCAACTATCATGGCGATAGTTGGCTTTATTGTCAAGCAACACCTTAGGCAGGAAACTTTGGATTTTACTAGCAAAAAGCAAAGATTTCCTTTATACTGTACTTACAAACTGTACTTACAAACATGACCAAAGGGTATTGGGCTAAATTGAGTCTGTCAGCAGAATAGCCCACCATTGGTTCCAATGAATTTTTAAAAGCTTGAAAATATTTAATTTTACATGTCCCCCAAGGATTTTCTAATAAACGTCCTTCCTGTGTTCCAGGTATTTTTGCTAATTTGGGAGTAATTTAATTATGGTTTAGCTTTCTGCTTTTCCTGCTGAAAGAGAGTGCTTGCTTTATTTTTTAAATGTCCTTTCAGTTTGTATCCCAAATTGGCAAGTACATAATACAAAATAAATAAATACATAAATACATAATCACTATAAAAAAACAGTGATGAGAACAAAAGTAAAAAACAATAGCAGGCACAGATCTTACCTTAATTTGCAGGAATAGAAAAGGTAAAACTCCTATAGAAATTGAAATGTGGGGTAATTCTTCCAATTTTGTGGGTGATTAAGATATACAAGCAAAGGAGATTTGCCGACAATGGTGGTCTGATCACTCACATACTGCACTCATAAATGGCAGTGAGTCAGAATGTGACCTGGTTTATTTAGAAATGAGAACTGCTTGTCCCGTGGCACTTGTGGGTTATTCAGTGTCACATGTGAACTAGAGACTTTGACTTGTTCTTGGCTTCTGATACCAGCTTCTTTAGAGAAGAACAACCCAGACCTCCTGGTTAGTTGTACATCTTAAATGAATCATGGTGAATAATGGGTTTATTTAGCTGCTTCAAGCATAATGACTGTCATGCTATTTATCCTTGAAAAGCTAACATTACAATAGTGGATTTACAATACTGGATAACTGATATCTTCAGAGCCATACACTAATGTCTGTCCTTAGCATACAAACCCTGAAAGGTATTCCTTTTGTTTGTTTTTGTGTTTTTGAAATGATCCTCTAAGGTAAACGTATGTTGAATGTTGAATTTACTAATAGTATTTGCTTATCTGAACAAGAAGAGGATTTCATTCTGAATCCTTATATCTACATATTCTTTTCTCAGTTCAAACCTACAAGAAATAAATCTCCTCTGTTGCAAAAATGGTTTGTTCTTCTTTTCCAGGCCAACCTCTGTTTTGTGGATATTGACAATCACTTCATTGAGTTACCAGAAGAGCTTCCTCAATTTCCCAATAAGCTGGATTTCATCCAGGAAATTTCAGAAATTCTCCTTCAGTCTGGGATTCCTCTTGAGGGTCGTCATCATTGTAGTGAGAGTGCAGCCAAGTTAAAGAATCTTGTCCTTTATGACTTGGCCAACGACAAAAAGAACGGGAATGTGCCCAGCAACGCCATCAACATGTATGAGTTTCTCAAAGGCAATGAGACAATCGCCCGCCTCCATGCTTTGGCAAAGAGGACAGGAGTGGCAGTAGACAAAATGGCTATCACTGCTTCTTTGACAGAAAAAGGAACAGATGTTAAACTCCACTGTGACGAACAGGAAATGAAGGACTACAAGCTGAATGTCCAGCTCCGGGAGGTTTTTGCCAACCGCTTCACCCAGATGTTTTCCGATTATGAGGCTTTTGTCATTCAAGCGGCACAGGACAGGGAATCCTGGCTGACCAACAGGGAACAGATGCAAAATTTTGACAAAGTAAAAGAAGCCAGATGCTTTTTCTTCTTAAGCCAGAGGTGGGGAACAATGGCGCTTTTATGACTTGCGGACTTCAACTCCCAGAATTCTTGAGCCAGCCATGAATTCTGGGAGTTGAAGTCCACAAGTCATAAAAGGGCCATTGTTCCCCACCCCTGTTCTAAGCTAATTTAGCCTTTTATCTTTAGGATGCCCAAAGTTCACTGTTATCTCATATAATGCTATATTCAGACTTCCTCGAATTAAAAAGGATTTCTAAGTCAGGTTGATACAGACCTTTGCCTTAAGATTTTTATTACAGATGTAGCACAGGTAGTCCTCAACTTACAACTTTTTCATTTAACAACAGTTCAAAGTTACAACAGCATCGAAAAAAGTGACTTTGACCTGTTTTTGCATGTATAACTGTTGTAGCAGCCCCACAGTCATGGGGATCAAAGTTTGGGTGCTTGGCAACTAGGATGTATTTATGATGGCTACAATGTCCTGGGGTCATGTGAACACCATTTACATTTACAACCTTCCCATCCAGTTTCTGACTAGCACAGCCAATGGGGGTTCACTTAATGACCACACAATTCATTTAACAATTGCAATGATTCTCTTAACTGTGGCAAAAAGGTTGTAAAATTAGGCATGACCCTCTTAACAACTGCCTTACTTAACAGTAGAAATTCTCCTCCTAATTGTGGGCTACCTAAGACTGTTGTTCCTGGTTCACTCCCCCTTTTAAAAAAAATATTCCTGAGTGGAAAGGCCAGTAGGATTTGCAAAGAGGTATAATTCTACCTATTTGCAGAAAATATTTTTATATAGTTTTCCTGTGATCTAGTTAAGGCGCTCTTTTGTTGAGGTGTTTATCTCTGGGTATTTAGCTCCTAAGAAAGGAGCTGTCTCCACCTGTGTGAAGGTAGTCCTTGACTTACAACCACAATTGAGCCCAAAATTATGTTGCTAAATGAGAAATTTGTTAAGTGTGTCACACCCCATTTTATGACTTTTCTTGCCATATTTGTTAAATGAATCACGGCAGTTGCTAAATTAGTAACACAGTTGTTAAGTGAATCTGGTTTCCCCATTGACTTTGTCAGAAAATTGCAAAAGGTGATCACATGATCCCGGGATGCTGCAACAGTCATAAGTGTGAAAAATGGTGATAAGCTTTTTTCAGTGCTGTTGTAACTTTGAATGGTCACTAAACGAATTGTTGTAAATGGAGGACAATTGGTGCTGTGAAGAGTTAAAGCAGATACAGTGGTACCTTGATACTCAACTACTTTGAAACTGATCGAATCTGGTACTCAACACATTTTGATGTGAAAATTTTATCCCGGTAATTGTTTGTTTGGTACTCATCATTTGTTTAGTACTTAACACACAAGCTGGAACTTGTCGTTGTCGGCTGCCTTTTGACTCACTACATTATTTCTTATGGGAAAAAATTGTTTAGTACTCATAATTTTTGGTAGTCATCCTGCCTCCCAGAACCAATGAACAATGAGTACCAAGGTACTGCTGTACTGATTGGTGGATTTCTCAATAGTTACCTGGACAATGAAATCCAGACTATTGATTTTTCCCTATTGCAATTATCTTTGGTTATTGAACCTTGCATATGAGCAAATAATGAAATGACACAAGTACATTAACTAATATAACTAATTTTGTTCCATTTTGATTCCTCTCTTCCACTCTAGGCTTCATTTCTCTCAGATCAACCGGAGCCTTATCTTCCTTTCCTCTCCCACTTCATTGAAACTCAAATGTTTGCAACGTTCATTGACAATAAAATTATGTCCCAATGGGAAGAAAAAGATCCATTTCTACGAGTGTTTGACTCTAGAATTGAAAAAATGAGGCTCTATAATGTCAGGATTCCCTCATTAAGAACATCAACATACCAGAAATGCACCACATTAAAAGAAGCAGGTATTGGTAGATTTTCTATGATAAATGATTTTTTTTTTAATAACAAGGGGGAAAAAATAGCCCTATTGCTTTTTGGAATTGTTTGAATAAAGATATCAGGATTTTCAGTAGTAATTTATGAATAGTAAATTTGGGGGGAAATTTTGTCCATCTCTGTAAAAGTATATTTAAGTCTCTAAGTGAATCTAAGAAAGCTCCGATGTCTGAGTTGGGCCTTGTTTATTCTAACATACTTTCTGTTCATTCATTTGTAAAGTTTTCTAGTGGGGATTCTGCTTTCAGTAAAAGTTACTGCAACAAGTTTAAACCCAAAAGATCTAAAAATAGACAGAATAAATTCAACTTTATTCTGCACAGGAGTTGCTGTCGATCTAGGGCTGCAAAAGTGGATGGCTAGTGTGGTTAGTACCAAATTTGGTGCCCAATTTGGGGAGAGGTTGGGGAGATTAAGGAGAGGACTGAATATCTTAAATCATTCAAGTTGAGATGTTGTCTTTTTAATCCAGGGATGGGAAAATCCCTGGTTAGGGTCTCTAAGGGGATTAATTGTATTGCTCCCAGAAGCTAACCATCAGTGATTATTGATTCTGCTAGCAAAAGTGGTTAATCGATGGCACATTGCAGTGTTTCTCAACCTTAGAAACATAAAGAGGTATAGACTTTAAGAGGTATTGACTGGCTGGGAAATTCTGGGAGATGAAGTCCATACTTTTGCACACTGCTCAGGTTGAGAAACAATAGCTACTGTATTTTACACCATGTGGAAGCTTCCAAGTATCTTTCAAAGACACACAATCAAAAAGCACATAACAACTATTGATAAACTGTGGCTTTTCCAAAATTATGATTCACATCAGAGTGTGAAATCCTTTCTACAACTCAGAGCTATTGTGCATTGAGACAGGAATCCCTAGCAAAGATCTCAAAATGCATGATGAATTTTCACAAACTTTGGAAATCACAGTTTGAGCTCTATAAAATTTCATGCAACATTTCAGAAATTCTACTTTTAAATAAATTATGGAGCACTCCACTGTATACATTTAGGAGTACAATCAACATCTAGTTTATCCATGATTCACATAATCAAACTTCTTGGTGAAACCAATGGGTTATGGGAGACTTTCTGCAGCAGACAATGATTCTAAATAAATAGTACCTCAATAATTGATGGCCAAGGACAGTGGGCACACAGGTTGGAGACTGAAAAAGATTTGAAATTTGATAATTTTTCAGCAACCTCAGCATGGAAAAGGTTACATTTAAATAATTGACTTTAAAATTATTTTCCCTTACACATTGTCTTAATCTAAGAGGGTGACAGAATTGAAGTGACATCAAACAGTAGCTCTAATTAGCTGAAGCTTTTTTAAATACAGTAACAGTATGAATATTGAGGAAAGATGTTGAATTTCTCTCTGTTGTGTAACTTATCTAAAGGAACTCTGTTGGAGGTGACCTACAATTTTCCCTTTTTCCCTCAACAATCTTTAGCCCAACTTTTTATTTCTGTCTACAACTCCAGTGATTTGTCAGGAATGAAGAAATTCCCTGCACTTTCCTTATTTCTACTTAGTCTTTCAAAAATTTGAAATAAGGGCATCAATTAGTGGGTTATTTTTTGCCTCTTCAGAATGAAATGACAAAATAATATCTAGATGGGCAAGGTGCAAAAGTATATGTGATGCTACCGTACATAGGTAGAATTTCTCTGTTTAAAAACTCCTAAGTATTGTCTATTGCTTTCAGCTCAAGCAATTGAACAACGGCTGATAAAGATGGATCACACTGCAATTCATCCACATTTGCTTGATATGAAGATAGGTCAAGGCAAATACGAGCAAGGTTTCTTCCCCAAACTTCAATCAGATGTGTTGGCAGTTGGGCCTATCAACAACAAGTAGGCTGTATAAAGCATTTAATAATCATAGTTTGTGTGTAGCAGTGTAATGATATACGCTAATTCTTTTGTTTACTGGAAATATGGGTAGTCTGTTCCTTCCCCCAAGCTCTTCCACCAGGTGCTTTCTAGATACTGGATCTATAAGTCCCAAAATTCCCAACTATAATTACAGTTACAGTGTATCTGGCAGGGGTTTTAAGAAGACTCTCTAATGTATTTTCTCTCGGTTCCCTGAAGAATATCCAGAAATGACAATGAGAGCAGCCTCTCTCCTTATGTAGATCATAATAAGTAGCATAACTTATATACTGCCCTTACCTAAATCAGTATAGAAGCTAATATTATTACAAGTCTTTCTCCACTGGTCATTACATTCAAATCTTGCTAGTGGAACATTGCATGTTAGCAGATAGATTTTTCAAGTTCAATCCAATGTTAAAATTTTAAGACTTCCATTCTTATTCTTATGTTCCTCAGTCGAATTAAAAAAAAACAATTTAATTAAGCAGGAGCTCACATTTTCATTTAGGTTTTTTTTTTTTTCAATTTATCTCTAACTGCTAGTTAACTTGGAGTAATCAGAAATGATTGCGGCAAAATCTAAATGATTAAATAAGGTTGCTAATACGCTAATCTCAGTTAATTATCCTGTAATCCTTTGTAATTACTTATAAAAGAACTTAAGTATTTGCATGTAGTGCAAGTTGGCAAAGTAATCGGGAAGTATGTATGAGATCAGATAACCCACTATTTTGATTTATATTTTTCATGTTTTTTTTTAAAAAAAAACAAAAGTGGTTAAGCACCCTGTAAATGGAAATACTTCTCTGAGTGAAAAACCAAGCGTTTTTCTGGGATAGGGTTGGTGTAGACCAGTGGTTCTTAGCCTTTTTGAACGAATTGCCCCCTTGAGCAATGAGGAAGTTGTCATCGCCCCCCTCCCCCAACATAACCTCTCAATTATAGGAAATAATTCTTCAATTTATGCAAACACTTTTTTTGTTTTCTTTAAAATTGTCATCAGGACATATCGATGCAAATAATTTATTTCCAATCTTTTCCCATATCTCCCATATTCTGGCCAATGGAGTGCCACTGTATGGGTAGAGGCTGCTGCACAATGCGCATGAAGATAAGCGATGCGTATTCACATATGTACGGCGTTCTGTACTGAGGCTAGCTGGAGGAACATTTGAAAACACAATTCAATCCACTAATAGCAAGCGATCTGATGTTTTTGTACGACAGATATACAGCGATTCACTGTACAAAAAAGTCTCAAAAGTGTCCCCAAAACATCTCACTCCATCGCCCCCATATTGCCCCCTTTTCATTCCTTTGCCCCCCTGTCATCCCTTTTCATTCCATCGCCCCCCGGAAAAATGAAATCACCCCCTGGGGGGCAATATCGCTCAGGTTAAAAACCACTGGTCTAGACAGCCTTTGAAATGTTTTAACTGTATGGTTCCATTGGCTAATATTTTCTTAGTTATTTCCTTCATTTTTTTGTCTGGTTCATAATGTGCCCTTCTGGGCAAATTCCCTTTCTCAGATGTGCATGTGTTTTCTATGAAATGAGCAGGTGTGACATTTGTTGCAGTTTGTTCTCCTGCTTCTTTTCTATTAAATAACTGTAGCCGGTGGGTGAGTCGCAGTGCTACTGCCCAGCGAAGGAAAGATCGTATTCGACAACATTCAGAACACATTGGCCTGGACAATGAGTTAAGGGAGGTAAGTGCTGAAATTAAGAACTGATAAAGTCATGGGTTTCTATAAGACTCAGTAATTTGTAGTTAATATAATATTTTCCAAACTCTGCTTTAATGACTTAATAACGTGCAAGGAAAAACTATCCATTCAGGATTTTTTGTATGTATTTGATTGTTTGTGCCTTCAAGTCTGTTTTTGATTTCTGGCAACTGCCTAGACAAATTTCTGCAGTTTTCCTGGCAAGGGTTTTCAGAAATGGTTTGCCATTGCTTTCTTCCTAGGGTTGAGAGAAAATGACTAGCCAAAGGTTACCTAGATCAGGGGTCTCTAACCTTGGCAACTTTACGACTTGTGGATGTCAAGTCCCAGAATTCTCCAGCCAGCTTTGCTGGCTGAGGAATTCTAGGACTTGAAGTCCACGAGTCATAAAGTTGCCAAGGTTGGAGACCCCTGACCTAGATGCCTTCAGGCAGGACTAGAACTGATCATCTCCCAGTTTCTAGCCTGTTGCCTTAATTATTGTATCAAATTGACTCTTGATTCGTAACCAGTGCAAACTGCAAAATAGATGCATAATTATTCAATTAAAACATATTGAAAGAAAAAGCATGATGCTAAATTGATTAACAAAATCTGGAATTGAAAGAAAAAGCATGATGCTAAATTGATTAACAAAATCTGGAATGTTTGGATTGTTCTGGGGTTTTGATAGAAAAAAATCCAATGGGATCTCTGAGTGCTTTTATGGGATGAATGATACAAGGCCCCTTGCCCCTCACCTCAGCAGTTCCCAGCACAATATGCCCTGCTGAGTGGCCATAGAGTAGTTTCACTCTGGCTTTGAGAAGGAGGCGGGAGAAGAGAAATGGTTGCTCAGCCCTGGGCAAATAAATGGCTAAGAAAGAAGCTCAGAAGAGTCCCATGTTGATCTTGCTGTGGGTAAAAAGGGGCAGTAGAAGTTTTGAACAGGCTTTCAAAATTCTGTTAATGATACCTGCAGCAATAGGGTAATGTTCCTGGAATTCCTGTGTTGTCCATTTCTTGATTTTGCCTACCTTGAAGAGCTGGGACCATCTTTATTCTCCCATCTCCCCTGTGTCTTTTTTTCCCTCTGACCCTCTGCCACCAGAGACTTCCGCAGGCCTATCTCTGACATTGTATATGCCTTCCCTTCTTTTCTTGTCCTGCTCTGGACCTCCTTAGCTGCTACCAGCATTACAATGTGTCATGTCCCACTAATTCACTCACTGTTCTCTTGCATCCTATGCCTTCCCAGAACTACTATTGGTGTCCTTGGCTTCTTTCCATTCTTATCTCCCTCCCAAATTACTTCTGCTCAGAACAATTGAGTTTCATCCCATATTGCTACAAAATAGTCCCATTTCATCCCATGGATGGACCAGAACTCTCAAAAATACGTGTTTCAGTTTAGCTATAGCTTGTTCCCCTGTATGGAACAGTTCATACACAGAATATTTAATGTATCCCTTTGCATTTTAAACCAGAACAATTCCAAAAATGTTGACAACATTATTCAAAAATCATCTCCAATACCTTTTTTAAAAATCAAATTCAGTAGGGAATATATTGAGGCTGAAGTACTCATAATGCAATTTTGTTGCACAGTCTGAATGTGCTTCTCACTAGTTTTCATAGGAAACTTAAGTTAAACTAAATGAATAAATAAATGCCATGTTATTTAAAGTAAACTTACCAGTGCAAGGTATTTAATCTTGCTATTACAAGGTCATATAATGGAAAATGATCTGCTTATAGATGTATTTGAAACTGGGAGATACATTCTTTCTTAAAACAAGAACCTGTCTATGTTTTTTTTTCTTAATTTGCCATTTTCTGGCCCTCTGTAAAAAATATCAATTAAAGCACAATCTTTTCAAGCCATTGTTCATTATTCTTTTAGGTGGAATGAGCTTTGAAAACATGGCTTTGTGTTGTTGTAAACTTATTCCATGCTTTATTTATTTATTTATATATCTATGCTGTGTTTACTCCCTGGCTTTCCTTTGGGATGTTTTCCCGTGACTCACATGCATGCGTATTTCATCATTTTCTTTTTCTCTGTCTGCTGTTCTGCCATGGGTTCTGTTTGCCTCCTCCAAGCCATCAGAGGAGTTTTTGATTCGCCAGAACTCGATGGCATTCTGGGAGTGGGATCAGGGCCTGCCCCCTCCTTTACGGCCACCTAAAAAATCATTCTCTGAATGTTGCCTGGTACGTGCTGTTCTTTAATTTTTTTGCCCCCCAAGAGCTGCTTCCTTAATCACGCTAGCCACTGCTGTTTTATCTGGTAGACCATCATGCACTCCTCTGTGGTCATTGAAAGTGTGGTTCTAATTGGGCAAGTTGTCCCCACAGCACCGGGGGGGGGGTATTCCATGCATTACAGTAGGACATCTCAGAAAACCACCAGATTCATCTTCATGGGCTGGTGAAAAATGAAAACGTAGACTTCAGTACTGTAGTTATATGACTTTAGACTCTAATTTTAATGGTCATACTAGGAAACTCTTTAGATGCCTATGTGTATTACTTGGGAATATGCAAACAATTGTATATTTGAGAGACTGCATCTTTTGAGGATATTTACCTGTCCTGCTATATTGGATAGGTTGGACTTGCTCTAGGTCCCTCCATTCAGTGTCACCTGGCAGAACTAGAAGTTGAGCCTCTTCCATAGCTGTGTTTACTGCATGGAACAGTCTCTCCCCTGAGTTATGGAAAGTCCCAATCTGTCTTGCCTCCTGAAGGGACATTAAATTCATGGATCCGATCTGGGTCAGTCACTGGGACCAGAGGTTTAGTCTTCCGAGCTTTTGGACTCATACTGAGCCCATCCTCATTATGGTCATGTGTTTTTCCTCAAGCATTGGAGTGTGATGGGAAGTGAGCTGAGTCTTTTTTCTGTTTTTTTTTTTTAAAGAGAGTACCATTTTAGTGCTGATGGTAGGCTAGTATGGTATGTTTTAATCTTGGTGTTTTTCTTATTGATGCATTTATTAGTTGCCTAGGGGTGTTTTACATAATATAGGTGGTATGCATTTTTTCAGATAAAAACATAGCATATTTTTCATAGTGAAAATAAAATGGGCATTTTAAACTGTGAGCCTGGCCAGACTAGTTTTCCATAACAAGCCTGGCCAGACTAGTTTTCCATAACACACACTGTTGCTCTCTCATGCACACACATCTGCACACAGACACACAAGTCTGTATCATACTGATGAGTTCCAGCATGTTCTTAATTACCCCGATTATAATATCAGCTCTTTTTTGTTGTTGACTCCTCACCTGCTTCTATTGCAGCATCCTCGGTGATTATTTGATGGGCTTTGGGCCTCTAGAATTGGACAGCTGCATGTTCTCCAAAATCTGTTCCTAGCTGCCTCACTAGCTATAAATTTTTTTACATCTAAATTTAATTAGATGTAGTCTGTAAAAGAGTCCATAAAGATAATATCACTGGGTGTTTACTCTCAATTATCTAATTAGAACCTTCCTTTGAATGGCCAGCACGAATTCCCTTCCTATTCCTTTTCTTTTTTCTTTTTTCTTAATTTGTTCATTACAATGTTCTCTCTTTTTCCCAGTTAGTTGCTGCTCGATTATATTCAGAATAATTTGGGGGGAGGGGGAGGAAGTAAACTATGGAATGCTGTTACAAAATTATGGATTATATAACATACCCTAAGCTTAGGAGGAAGTTGGAAGTTTTGAGCTTTCCCAGTGTTGATCTTTACCACCCTTCATAAAGATTTGCATACTACCCTACTTCAAATGATTTTTGGCAGTATATAGTAAAACAATTTTAAAAAACTAAAAAATATAAAACATATAAGGAACGGTTGCGAGAATTGGGTATGTCTAGTTTAACGAAGAGAAGGACAAGGGGGGACATGATAGCAGTATTCCAATATCTCAGGGGCTGCCATAAAGAAGAGGGAATTAAGCTATTTTCCAAAGCACCTGAAGGCAGGACAAGAAGCAACGGGTGGAAACTAATCAAGGAGAGAAGCAACCTAGAACTAAGGAGAAACTTCCTGACAGTGAGAACAATTAATCAGTGGAACAGCTTGCCTCCAGAAGCAGTAAATGCTCCAACACTGGAAGTTTTTAAGAAGAGACTGGACAGCCATTTGTCCGAAATGGTGTAGGGTTTCCTGCCCGAGCAGGGGGTTGGACTAGATGACCTCCAAGGTCCCTTCCAACTTTACTACTATTACTACCTGATGAAATTGACATAAACATAATACAATAATCAATTCCAGAAGCAACTCAGATCTACTGTCTGCACCACAGCTCATTGGAACAATTTGATCTTAACAACATTGCCAAAAGTGAACATGTCAATGTATTCCATAATGTAGAGGCCACCCCTGAGAAAGTGTCCTCCCTTCCACCTCTTGTGGAGTGGAGACCCCAGCAATCCTTCTTGGGATAAATGCTGAGATCTGGCTTATTCTGATCAGGAGAAATACTTCTATAGATACACCTACCTGACAGTGTTGGTTTTAAGGATAAAACCAACACTGTGGACAGGGGCTGGAAGCCTACTGGTAATCAATGCAGTAAATTCCACAAAGATGTAACATTACTTAACTTGTAACTTCCTGTTATTGGGGTGTTGCATTTAGGTCCCATTGCAGCTGGAGAGTCATTTTCAAGGGAGGCCCCGTGTAAAGCATATTGCAGTAGCTGAAACCTAAGGCAATGAGTACACGAATCGCATTTGTTAGGGTTTTCCAATCCCAGGAGATCTGCAATTGACATGCCAACTGAAGCCAGATGAAAGCTTATCCCCCATATGCAAAAAACCTGAAGATTTCATGAAAAGATGTTTCTGATCTTCAGATGTATTTACTAAGGAGGTCTGCTCTTTGAGAAACATCACAGGCTCAGCCTGGTCTGTTTGTTTCTCCAAGGCCAACCAGCAGAAAGATTGATTGATTGATTAAATTTCTACATTCTGCCCCCATCTCACCTCAGTGACTCTGAGTGGTTTATAAATAAAACATAGAGTACTATAAAAACACATTAAAAACACAATTAAGAACAAAGTTAAAAATTAAGAGGTAAAGGGAGTAACCAAGTAAGCAAGCAACCCTCAAGCAACTAACCATTCCTAGGATTGCATATCATTCTTAGACTTCTCCCCATGCCAGTGGGGAGAGCTGGGTCTTGACACTCTTCCAGAAAGCCAGAGTTTTAGCCCTGCTTTCTGTTAAATGTGGTAATTGTGTATATATTGCGTCCTCTTAAAAACAGTTCCCATAGATGCCCATATTATTCCTTAAAACATGTTGTTTCTGCCTTCATGTAAGTCAGTGGTTCTCAACCTTTTTAATGCCGCAACCCCCAACTGGTCGTAAGTCAAGGACTACTCAACCGGTCGTAAGTCGAGGACTACTCAACTGGTGCAGCACTGTTTGCAGAATGGGACTTTTGGCGGGCTCAGCAGAGCAGAGACAGCCTGGACAATTCCTATTGGCTTTGAAAGCCAATAGAATTAGACTCTATTCAAGAGAGTCTATTCTATTGGCTTTCAAAAGCCAATAGAATAAAAGAGAGTAGCACAGCTAAGGAAAAGGGGGAAAAAAATGGCGGACTGCATTGTTTGGCGACTCCCGTGAAATGGTCGTTCGACCCCAAATGGGGTCCTGACCCACAGGTTGAGAACCACTGATGTAAGTGCTTTACATAAAACAAGAAAAAAACCCTAAAGGATAGGGTTCCTCATGATAATGCTTTTGTCCAGAAACATTTTTTTAAAAAACCCTTTTGCACTAGTACCCTTTGTTGCCAGCTTCAAATTGTCGTGATGTATAGTTATTACATTTTGGTACAAAGTGAATTAGTCATATGAGAGTAAGCAGGACAGCGCCACCTGCACTATTTTTGGGTGTTCATTCATGTTCTCTTTTCTTACTGGATTAGAAATACATGCAAGAAGCAAGGACCCTGGGGAAAAATCTCAGACAGCCCAAACTCTCTGATCTTTCTCCTGCTGTAATTGCTCAGACAAATTGGAAATTTGTCGAAGGTTTACTCAAAGAATGTCGAATGAAGGTAAGTTGGTTATATGTACATGCACAGACAGAACATCCATGCTATGAAGTTAGGGAGTCTCCCAACCCACAAATGCTTGTTGATTTTGCTGTTCTGGTATTTTGAGTTGAAGAGCCTTGATAACTGGTCATTGTCCTTCATTCTAGTGTCCTTCATTCTGTTTGTTTGCAGACCAAGCGTATGTTAGTAGAGAAGATGGGTCATGAAGCCGTGGAACTTGGCCATGGAGAGGCCAACATCACAGGTCTAGAAGAGAATACACTAATTGCTAGTCTTTGTGATTTGCTGGAAAGAATTTGGAGCCATGGATTACAGGTCAAACAGGTCAGTGACTTGAAAATTCAGATATACTCGTCTTCTATATTACTTCCATATATTATTTTGCCCAAAACATTCATTGCTGAATAGTTTGTCCCTCATCTTGGAAGAGGTTTGGAAATGTTTAAACAGTATTTCAACAGCTTCACAGTGAGAACAATTAAATCTGTGTAATGGCTTGCCTCTGGAAGTTGTGGGTGCTCCATCACTGGAGGTTTTCAAGAAGAGACTGGACAGCCATTTGTCCAGAAGGGTAAAGGATCTCCTGCTTGAGCAGGGGATTGGGTTAGAAGACCTCCAGTGTCCCTTCCAACCGTATTGTTCTGTGTTCTGTGTTCTAATTATCTGTTTGTTCTTATAAAAAGGGGAAATCGGCATTGTGGTCCCATTTAATTCAGTACCAGGAAAGAGAAGAGAAGCAGGAGCAGCTTGCAGAATCTCCAGGTGAGTATTACAGATATTTGCAGGGATAACATCGCAAGAAGATTAGCAAAACTGTTAAGAGATAATAAAGGAGAAAGTAAATGACAGCTTAGCCCTGGGAGAGGATGGATGCAACAGAGACTCAAAAGGTTTTTCCCCCCCAATCTTTTTAAATAATCGCTCTTTGGACTTGAAATACTGGACCTTAAACCATCTGATTTCTATTCAGCAATAAAATTATATCTTTAGTGGTAGATGAATATTTACGTCCAAGGATATAATGTCTCAGATGGTCTTGCATAGTTGCAGCATTTTAGTGTAAAGTATGTAATGAAATTAAATATGCTATTCTTCTTGTAAGTCAGGATGAATGATGAATGATGATTTTAGTCAATCAAAGAAACTATGATTTAATAGCACAAATCAAAGATTTACTTTACCTCTTCTAGGTACAAATATCCATTTAAGCAGATTTGTTGGCATACATTTTTATTTCTAATGGTCTCTTTCACTCTCTGATTAGGAAGGTACAAATATTTGTCAGTTGTGAATGATAATGAGCATTTGGGAGAATAAAACAAAAGTGAAAATCTAAGGATTCAGTGGGATTATATGACTGGAGTGAAAGTAAAGTCTTTCTTTTATTCCAGTAAGGAAGGATTAAAATTCTTTTCCCACCTGTTAAATTGTATAAATATTTAAGTCTTTATCTGGTCAGAATGAATAACTCTACACCAGTGGTTCTCAACCTTTTTAATGCCGCGATCCCCAACCGGTCGTAAGTCGAGGACTACTCAACCAGTCGTAAGTCGAGGACTACTCAACTGGTGCAGCACCGTTTGCAGAATGGGACTTTTGGCGGGCTCAGCAGGGCAGAGACAGCCTGGACAATTCCTATTGGCTTTTGAAAGCCAATAGAATTAGACTCTATTCAAGAGAGTCTATTCTATTGGCTTTCAAAAGCCAATAGAATAAAAAGGAGTAGCACAGCTAAGGAAAAGGGGAAAAAAATGGCAGACTGCGTTGTTTGGCGACCCCCGTGAAATGGTCATTCGACCCCAAATGGGGTCCCGACCCACAGGTTGAGAACCACTGTTCTACACAAACTTATTGGCATCAGGGAATGTTCTTATTTTACCAATATGAAAAATGTAAAAACCGATATCAGGTTATATGTTTAAGTATACGTTGTTGGGTTTTTTTTTTTACTATTTTAGGATTGTATTCTTAGCTTTGCAAGTTTACATTAAGACTTTTCTCAAGTGTAAAAATACTTTGGAATAAATTTAGTTTGGTGCCAACCTTTGGGTTGCCCTGTCTAGCACAAAAGCTAAACTTAATTGGTGCTGGATAGTATGTGAATGAAGTTCATCTAGAACAGGAAAATAGATTAGGATGTCAAGAAGCATCATGGAACAAGGCAATGGCAGCCTTCTTCTGTACGGATATTAAAAAAAAACCTACATGGACTTGTCAATGAAATTACCAAGAGTCAAGCTTGACTTGAAAATATAATTTTTGATGATTCCCCTTAAACATTCAGACTTGGATTAAATAAAAAGGGCAGCCAATTGCCATAGACAAATAGGACATTCTTTCTACGTCTTAATTCAGATAGATTTCTCAAAGAGGTTTAATATTTTAGTAGATTTCTGTACTGAACATGTTACTAATAAATTAATGAATCTTCTCCTCGCTATCACTCTACAGTTGTTGTTGGACCAGAAAGAAGGAAATCTGACACAGGTCTTATGTTACCTATTCTAAGAGTTTCACTTATTAGTGATATGAGGTAAGACATTCAATTCCTAAAACTTGGGTTTTAAAGATTTATGCTTCAAATGAAAAAAAAAAAAAAAAAGCATCAGAGCTTTCTGGCTGTCAGACACAGTTTACCATGGAGAGGTTTGAGTCTGAATAAAAATAATATGGGAAAGAAGTGAGATAGGATTCCTCCTTTCAGAAAATGTGTAAATTGGGCAGGTACCGGTCTGTGGCATGCCAGCAGCTGGTCTGCACAAACAAGCAAAGCCCCATCCGTGGGATGCAGGCAGCACACAAAACCATGCACTCTCCGGTCCGTGGAAAAATCTCTCTCCACAGAACTGGTCCCTGGTGCCCAAAAGATTGGGGACCTCTGTGTTAGACTATACTGGGATAACAGTTCAAATCCCCAGTTAATCATATAGCGGATCTAGGCAATTTATCAGATCTCTGTTAGTGTAGTTTATCCCACTGGAATAAAAAGAAACAGGATGCATGTTGCTTATAGCACCTTGAAAGAAGACGGGACTGTCTATCATTATTATTACAGGTAGTTCTTGATTTAGGATTGGTCACTTAACAGCCATTAAAAATTATAGCCCATGAAATAATTCTCACCATCATAAAACGTGCCAACCCCTGTGATTGCATTTTAGGTCCTTGGCAACCAGCTTGCCTTAATAACCAGCTGCAAAATCCTATGGTCATGTAACCACAATTTTCAAATGTTGTTGCCAGTTTTCAGCATATTTATTTTTTGCCAGCTTCTGATAAAAACATCCATTCAGAAGAGTGGGTTTCCACTTACAACCATGGTGTTTGCTTAACAGTTTAATGACTGCAGCTGTTCAGTCAATGACCAAACAAAAATGTTGTAAAATCAGATCCAGTGCCTTGACTTATGACCATAACAACTTATGACCATAAATCTGGTCCCTACTGTGATTATAAGTCGAGGACTCCCTGCATCAACATCCCAAATCAACCTACTTCAGAATGAAGGACTCCTGAGCTGCTTTCCAACAGCTTCAACATGCTGCAAGTTGTTTCCAGTTAACACCTCTAAATGAATTACATCACCTCCTCAGTGTTTCTTTGGGTATTTTCTGGGTCTTTTGTGGTTAACTGCTACCAATCAAGGATTGTTTTTGCTCAGTGTTGATCTCGTTACTATGTAATATGTCTAGCCCATTGTCATTACTGGAGGTCTACCCGCTTTGTTGTGCTGCACAGTCCTGTCTGATTGTGGATGTGGATGTTTCTTAGTGTATACATTTTGCATGTGGGCATGAGTGTACGTAAGTATTTTGAGCTTTAAAAACTATTCAGTTCATTTGAAAAAGCCCAGACTTCATATTGTCTTTGTCTCTGTCTCTAAACCAATGTTCAGTTTGTATCTGCTGCAAGAAGCCTAAGAGAAAATGAGAAATAGAGGTTAATAATTTCTAGCCATCCTTTCTTTGCTAAATGGAGATTTGTCACTTTTTCACTGTTTGAGTGGAAATTGAATGCACTGCAAATGAGTTACAGTTCCCAAAGAAGGATAATTATCACTTTTTTAAAAAATGTCTGGCAGCAAGATTTCTTCTCCCTTCTTCTCCCTTCCAAAAGCAAGATGAAACAGAGATGAACCAAGGAGAAACAATTTGTGGCAGGGCCTGGAGTATCAAGAACTACAACAATTACATATAGTCCTTGAGTCACGACAGTAATTGGGACCGGAATTGTCATTGCTAAGGCGATCAAACCGGTCAGTCCTAGAAGAGATCAACCCTGACTGCTCTTTAGAAGGTCAGATCCTGAAGTTGAAACTCAAATACTTTGGCCACCTAATGAGAAGGAAAGACTCACTGGAGAAGAGCCTGGGAAAGATAGAGGGCTATAGAAGAAGAGGATGACAGAGAATGAGGTGACTGGATGGAGTCATTGAAGCAGTAGGCGTGAACTTAAATGGACTCCAGAAGTTGGTAGAGGACAGCAAGGCCTGGAGGAATATTGTCCATGGTGTTGCGATGGGTCGGACACAACGTCACAACTAACAACAACAACAACAAAGCAATGTAATCATAAAGCTCAACATCATGTGACCTCATCACTTAGTGATAGCAATTCCAGCATCCCTTAATGGGAATCATTAAGCAGGAAGAGGTAGGAGTCCCAGGCAAGAAGTAAGGGGGATTGGGGGTATCGCAGGCAGGCACGATGGAGCATGGGGGGCTGCGAAAGGATTGGCAGAGGCCACCACCGGGCAGGGAGAGGGCTGTGGGTGGGCATACGCTATGAAGTATAAGTAGGGAGAGAGTGCTAGTTAGCCGGCTCCTCAGAGAAAAAGTGGCAGGAGTGGCTTACTGGTGGTACAGGCAGCCTTCCCTGCCAGTTTCACCATTGACTTTGCTTGTGGGAAGCTGGCAGGCAAAGTCACAGACGGTGATTATCTGATGCCACTCATTGTGACTCAGTCACGAGCCAGGCCCCCAAGTACCTGGATCATGACCATGTGACCCCAAGGATGCTGCGATGGCCAGAACCTGGAGCACCACTTGTCCATTTTTTCACTGCTGCTATAACTTCGAATGGTCACTGAAGAAATGGGGGTGAGCCAGAGATTATCTCTATAGTCTAGGCCAGCTTTCTCATATTCAAGGTACATGTTTTGCTTATGTATGCATTTACGCACCCGTGCCTTCATATACATTCACTTTGTTTTGCTGCATCTCCTGTTAAGCCAGGATGTGGCCAATAATAGATCTCAAATTCATTTTTTGATAATCAGTAGTTACATGCTGTGCAAACATGACATGTAAATGTTGTTTTACCCCCAACTTGCATTGGCTTGTTCCAATGTACTATCCCTTTAACTATCTGCTCAGAACAGGTAATGGATACAGGATTGCTGCCCAACATTCCTCAGTCCTATTATTCAAGGCCAAATGTAGGTACTTGAGTTGTAATTCCATGGGATTAATCATATTATTCCTAATGCTAGATCTAATCGGTTAGACAAAGCCCAGTTGTTGCATTTTTAATCATTGTTTTCATAGCAGCTATCAAAGTCAACAAAAATAGAATCAAGGAAGATGATTACAGGTAGTCCTTGAGTTGCAACCAGTCTTCAAAGTTACACAGCTCTCCCAAATGCTACTTGTGACCCAGATCCAAAGTTATGATGGTTATGTGACTGCATTTCAGGTGTCCAGCTACTAGCCTACATTTACTGCCAAGCTCAATTACAGTTGTAAGTCAAGGACTACTTGTAATTATCAAGTTCTATCAGAATGCACATATGCACTGGTGTCAACCATCTGGATCCAAGCTAACAACCTGCCTCCAGAAACTGTGAATGCTCCAACACTGGAAGTTTTTAAGAAGAGACTGGACAACCATTTGTCTGAAATGGTATAGGGTTTCCTGCTTGAGCAGGGGGTTGGACTAGAAGACCTCAAAGGTCCCTTCCAACCCTATTTTGTTATTGTAATGCACAGGACAGAGTATTTAAAACATCCTTGCAAAAAGCCTGAACATTATTCCTTCCCAGATTGTAGCACCCTATCAAGCTGCAGAATAATAAAGCTATCATTTACTGGGTCTGATCTGCTTCCCTGCCTCGTTGCTTTGAGCATATTTATGCTTACAGTAGAGGAAGCAGAGGCCAGGCTGAGGCTGCTATGTTTCTCTTGGGTGCTGCTAATATTATTTATTCTCCCATTGTTGCTCGCTTGCTTCCATTTTCCTCAGTAGTGTCAGGAAAATGATTGATATCACCAAAGCTGCACTTTAAATGGAACTCATCACCAACTATGGAGGAGTGGGAAGTTTCAGCTTTGATGTAGTCCCTATCAAAAGGCTTTAAATAGTTACAAGTGAGTGTTTTTCATCACGATGGGAACAAATAATGTGCTTGTCATATTTCTCAAGGATTTTTGATCACATGCCTGGTTGTGCTGTGTTTGTAGCCCCAAGAGCTGCTTGTCAAAGACAGTTCCCCCCCCAAAAGGGGGGGGGGAGTCTGCTTTGCAGAGAATCTTGCAAGCACGAGAAGCAAGTCTTGTTTTATAGCAGTTTGGATGGTTGTGTGAGTCACAGCTCAAGGAGAGCAGCTGTGGGGGTTCCTAACAAAGAACAAAAGGAGTTGGAGAGGATTATCTCACTCTTGAAATGGCTGGATGAATCAGAAGGGCTCATTTTACCTCTTAATTTTATGCAAGCAGCGGGGGAACCACAGTTAGCATTGTTATTGTGTGCAAAAACTGATGAATTGGGATATGCTAATTAAGCATTGACAGCAGCACTATCTCCAGTGCAGCAGCAAGCAAGCTCTGCAGCATTTTTTAAAGTTTCCATACATTGTAATGAATTGCAGTGTGGCACATGGTGGAGCCCACTTTTGCTACAACAGTGCAGCAATTGCTGCAGGAATGGGGGCAGGGCTGGCATAGGGAGGTGCTACCGAGGAAATTTCTTTCAAGCAGCACATATTCACTACACCATCCCTTCTCTCTGCTCAGTTGATCTAAGAACGGGGATTGGGAGAACGCACAAAGAACCAGAACAGCAGAATCCACTCCATCAAAATGCGCATGATTTTGACTCTTTGGGCTTTGCTTTGCTTGGTTTGCTTGCTTACCACAACTCTTTGGTTTGTGACTTATCAAATCTGGGAGCCTTCCTAAATGTGCAGTTTTCAGATCATACTTCTCCAACTACAGAGCTGTGCCTGAGATTCTGGAATTTGAGGTTCACAGGCTCTGGATCTCCTCTATAATTTGCTGCTTAAATGTTGCTTTTGAGTGTGAGAGAAAGCGTAGGTTTTGCATATATCAGTGGCTGGTTTCTTTCATCTTCTTCATTTCAGTTTGTTTTCTAGCCTTGTTTACTTTTTGGAGTGGTCTCCCCAGCACACTATACAAAGACTAAGTTTGAAAACAGTTGTACCTGCCCTATTCTGCTGCATAGGCCAGTGACCAAGTTTCTTCAACTTGCTAAGCTACTTGATTTCCTTTCCATAATTTATTTATTATGTTTTTATCCTGCCTTTATTATTTTTAACAACTCAAATTGGCCAGCATATCTAATACTCCTTCCTCCTCCTATTATCTGCATAACAACAACCCTATGAGATGAGTTGAGCTGAGAGAGACTGACTGGCCCAAAGCCACCCAAATGGTTTTCATGCCTACGGCAAGACTAAAACTCACAGTTTCCTGGTTTCTAGGCCAACACCTTTACCTCTGCGCCAAAGTAGCTCTACTACACTGAAGGGATGATAATTCATTCTGAGAACTCCCAAGTAGACCAAATCTGGAGGCCTTGTTTTCTTATCTTGTGTTGACCATATCACAACATAAAATTTTGTAGTGAATCATGTAGAAAACTAGACTTCCCTTTTAAATTCCTCTTCTTATTTATAATATTGTTACCATTCCCTACAAACCTTTAATTTCACCAGAAAGGGGATTCTGGGTCACACAATCTGTTAATCAGCAGAAAAGACATTCTCTTGACTATTACTCCATGAGCTTGAGTTTCTCCACCCTTACACTAATAGTCAATTTTTCTGTAGTGTAGAAATGCTTTCCAGTAGATGTTAATTATGCTTCTTCCTCTTCATCATTTTTCTTTCCTGAAGGCACATTCAGAACATGAGTGAAATAAAGACTGATGTGGGTCGGGCACGGGCATGGATAAGACTGTCTCTTGAAAAGAAGCTCTTGTCTCAACACCTGAAGCAGCTCCTCTCTAATCAAGCTCTGGCAAAGTAAGTTCTTCAAGGCTGGTCTTTCTGGAATCCTCATTTCAGGTAGCAATTTGATGTGGATCTTTTCCAAGAGTAAGTTAATCGAACTCAAATTTAAGATGGCATATGAAGCAGCTCTTTAGTTCTGCCTGAATATTAGGAACCTTGGCTTGGAATTGAAGTAGCTTAAGTTTCAGTGAAGATCCTGTATTATTCCAAGGTAGCTTTTCCAGCTAATGTTCTTGAAAATACTGCTATCATCCTCAACCACATGGCAATTAACTCTTCATTCAGTTCTAAATTATGAGGCTGAAAGAGAGAAAACATGACTAACCTAGAATTGAAATGGAAGAGGGGGAGAGTTTGAGTTAACTTTTATTACGTCACTGAGATTCTTGAGCTCAGAATTCTTTTGATTCTTTGTGAATATCTAACTCAGGTTGGTGGATATTAAGGTTCTAGAGCACAGGTGTCAAACTCGATCACGTCATGTGACGTATCATGACATATCTTGATGTTCTCTGCCTTTGTGGAGCCAGGGTGGGTATGGCTTGCACGTGACGCATCCAGCCCTTGGGCCGCCAGTTTGACATCCCTGTTCTACAGGGGAAAAAAATACAGTAGGTCCCACTAAACTGAAACTTATTGTAACCATTCTTGATTCAGCACACTTCATTGGCCTTTCTGTAATGTTGAAGGACAATTACAACTTTCTTTCATTAGATTCTCACAAGTTTTGCCTGGTGTTGTTGTCCATAAGATATTTCTTACTCCCTGCAGGAAATTGTACAAGCGGTATGCCTTTTTGCGTTGTGAAGAAGAGCGGGAACAATTTCTCTATCATCTTCTTTCTCTCAATGCTGTGAATTACTTCTGCTTTACAAGTGTCTTCACTACCATCAGTAAGTAGGGATAAAAAGCTGACTGTATACTTCCATTAAAAAGTCTGTAATCAAGCCACCCCAAGGGAGAACTCCAGATAATTCTCTGGGAATTATCACTGGATAATAGCACAATATATGTTATGCTACGTTGTGTTATGCCTTTCCCAACCTGGATATTTTCCAGATATGTGGACTTCAACTCCCAGAATTCTCAGCAATGGGCCTGCTGGGAGAGGATTAAAATCTATACATTTGAAAGATGCCCAGTTGGGGAAGACAGTTTAGGAAGTGATCAAATTCATTTTTTGTTTATTTAAGTATAATTAATAATTTATTTAGTAATAGTAATATAAATTATCATTACAATATTTAAATGCCTCAGCAGATGTAAGAAATATCAAAGAAATATATCTTGGATAAAGAAAGTGTTTTAAAGTATGGAAGAGGTTACACATCTTAGTCTAGAGCTGCAAAGTGTGCTTCCCTCGAGAGCATTGCGAAGTCAGGTGGCCATTCCTGAGAAATCACCTTCCAAGCTTCAGAACATGGGTGCACTCAAGAGCTTTTTTTTACTAGATATTTATGGAGAAGGTCTTTTGCAGGACCCAAGATCTTTAGATCTGCGTAATAAGGCAGGTGACTTCCAGGATTTTGAATGGTTATATGGTATTTTTACAGTTTAAATTATGCTTACATTAACAAAAAAAGTATTCTAGGCTATAGTCTTTTGAATGGTGGGTTTCCTTCACTCATGGAACTGCTGTTATTCATTGTAACGTCAAGCAACAGGTATGGATTAGAGTTGCAGTATGAAAGTTTAGTAAAAGCTACTCTATTCCAGATTATAACTGCTACTCTGCTGCTGAATCTTGAGGGTGTGGCATATCTTAAGGATAACAGTACCAGATTTGGGGTGGAGCATGGGGTGGCTGCATGGAGCATTTGAAGGGCATTCTCCCAAAATGGTTGACCTAATAGTGGTGGACATCATAAAACTCTCATTTATCAACAGAGAATCCCTTCAGGATAAATGTGGGTTCAGGAACATTTTTGGAAATTAAGATTATGTAGTTTGGTTTGATTGCAGCATGCTAACATCATATTATGTGTTAAATTAAAAAGAATCTGAAAAAAAATTAGCAGGCAAGGCAGGTGCCCTTGTATTTATCTAACCGATGCTAGAGTCCTTTGAGTTCCTTATTTATATTTATAGACACCCTCTGGAGGAAACATCTCTAATTTCTAAATGTTTCCATTGCCATATTTACTTGCTTATTTTTGAAAATGTGTAATTTTTTATCTTGAAGTTATTTTAATTGCTGCTTTTAGATTGAGATTTGTTTTTTGTTATATCTGCTGTTTTTCCATTTAAGCCAAACAGAATATTTTTACACTAACAGATGGGCAGATATTGGTAAAATAATATTGAGTGAAAAAACATATTGAATTGTATAAAGATCCAATTATCTATAACATTCTAATAGATGGCTCACACTAATTTCAGTCCATATTAATTTTAGACATGTTCATTAATTGTGATTATTTTAAGTTTTGGTTCATTTATTTGTTTTCTGGCCTCCTTCTATAAAAGTCTCTGTTTTTTTAAAAAAGTTACAAATAATATAGGGAAATAATCTTTTAGTATACCATAGTCCTCTGCCTCCCTCTCTCCATTCCATCTCCTTTGTCGGGTTGTGTTTTTTTTGATCCAAAGATAATATTACAAAATAATATCTGAATAATGCCTTCTGATCTATGGGTTGTCTGGGAAATGCTGCTGGAGTTCTTCTCTTTAAAATATGACCAACCAAAGATGGTTTAATGGTTTGAATAATTAAAAGATTTTTAATCTAGATACTGTGGAATCATGACATAATCTGTTTTAATTTTCTAGGTTTTTTAAAATATATATATTTCAGAAATGATATATCAGTCATTTCCCTGAACTTAATATATCAGGCATCGAATGATCCAGAATTTCTGTCTTTTCACCAAATCTGCAAGGTGGTTTAGGCTGAGTCAGAGATGTCACAGGGCTACAGTTTGAAGGTCCCTTGGGCTAAATCCAGCCATCTGATCACAGCAAAGATAAAGAACTTCTGGGGATCAGCATAACATCACTCCATATGGCCTTGGTTTGCTGCCATTTTTTGCAAGACCTGCTGATTGACAATCTCTTCAGGCATGAAGTGTAATTTCCATTCATTTTTTTATGATTCCCAAGACAATACGAACACTTCTAATCAGACTGTTGATGTAGTATTTATCTACCCAACTCTTTAATGATTCTGCACAGCTTGTAGAAAACAACATATAGAGAAAAAACACAACCAGCCAGAAGGGTACTAAAACCAAAAGCATTGGGATTCTCCCCTATCCTGCATTGGGTTCTCTCCTATCTTGAAGCTTGGGAGAACAATCAAGTTTTAATTATTTTATGAATGACATTAGAGTGGAAATTACAAATCTCTGGAGGCATGTCATTCCAGAGGGCAAGCACTGCAGCAGAGAAGACATGCTTCCTGAGTCCCACAAGGTGACATTGTTTTGATCAACAGGAGTCTGAGTGCACCAATTCTGCTTGTGTCGGGCCTTAGAGGTGGTCCAGTGAAGAAACCAAAACCTACTTTTATTGTAGGCTCACAGTAAGAGAGTCTGAAAGCACTCCCCTCCCCTCGCCTTTACTTTCCTAGGTCTCTTTTGTGGAGGGTCCTCTCTATGATATTTCCATGCCCACCTCCCTTCTGTCTACTGAGATACCTTTTGTCTGACCATCGTCTAGGTCTAGGTTGTGGCTCTTCCTCCTCCAGTCTCCCAAGGTCTTTCTCACTGATCTCATTGGAGTGGTAGAAATAATTGAGAACAAGTGTTTCCTTAGGTAACCAGGCTCTTTGCCAAGAAGGGCTTTATAGGTGACAACCAGCACCTTGAATTTATTTATGATTAAATTTATATGCTGCCCATCTCACCAATGTGGCTACTCTGGGTGGCTAACAAAGAGTAAAGAAAGAAATATTTTTTTAAAAAAAAAAACTACATAAAAAGTTAGAACAAGAAGACTGACTGCATTGGGATGAGATCTTACCTGGACAACCACCTTCAATCCCCTACCCCATCTCTCATTTGGAGAGGAGGATAACAATCACTCTGTACATCTAGTCCTCGACTTGTGACCACAACTGAGCCCCAAATTTCTGCTGCTAAGCAAGAGTGAATTTTGCCCTATTTCATGACCTTTCTAGCCACAGTCATAAATATGAATTAGTTGCCAAGCATCTGAATTTTGATCATGTGACTATGGGGATGCTGTAATGGTTGTAAGGGTAAAAACAAAAGGGTCATAAGTCACTTTTTCAGTACAGTTGTAATTTCAAATGGTCACTAAAAGAACTGTTGTAAATCAAGGACTACTGTATAGACTCGTAAGTGACCCCTAGTGGTGAGAGTGAATTGCAAATGGTAATGGGTACAGTTCTTGAAGCAAAGGAAATAAATATGTGAGCAATGGGAATATGTGACCCAGCTTATCCAAGACCAAAGACGGAACATATCCAGAACTATAAGTCTGCCACTCGGTCTTGTCAGAATTCAATTACTATTGAATCTATTTCTTTTCCATTCAGCCCTGTACATCCATGCCCTTGAGTCAGGCCCAAGGAACCAAGAACGACACACGGAGTTACTTTTGAGTACTTTCTTTATTATTGTTTGCCCGTAGACAGACATCTTGCCAGACTAAAGCAACTACTTGCATAACTATTATATATACTCTGTGAACTACTGGGGGGGGACAGGGTCCACCTTCATCCTTTTCCTGCATACCTATGATCTCTGATGTCTCTTTGCTGTCTGAGAGAGAGAGCCTTTCCCTCCTGCAACTCTGAACTACATTCCACCACACAAACAGGCCTTATTATGCACACACGCATAACAGTAGAAGCATTGCTTTCTGATATAAAATACAAAGGACGTTTGAACCAGATGGAAAGAATTTTTAATGTAATACCAAGGGAGATGTACATAGACGTGGATGAAAATTGTTCTTTAAAGACGTGCCAAAAGTGAGACAGATTCTCTCCGCAAATATCTTGAGAGATTTAACAGGGCATCTCTAGGAGCATAACAAACAAAGACAAAACCAGTAGAAAAGAATCCATTGCCTGGTTTTTGAAAGCTCCTGTCTTAATTTCCCACAATGCCCTGGAATGATGTATTACAGCCTTGTGGGAAAATTTGGATGGCAACTGGCAGAACCACCTTCCTGGTGCAGATAGAAATACTTGCAGCTCAGGGCTGATGGGAGCAGCTTGAAGCCCACAAGTCATAAAAGGGCCAAGTTTGAAGACCCCTCTTCAAACTTGGCCCTTTTATGACTTGTGGCTGGGGAATTCTGGGAGTTGAAGTCCACAAGTCATAAAAGAGCCAAGTTTGAAGATCCCTGAGCTTGAAGATGCTAGATCTGAAACATGTATTGCCCTGATATATACATTTGTATTATATATCTTACAAATAGCATTTATCTATGAGCATCATTTCATGGTAATATATGCCCTAACCTGTTGCTATGGAAACAGGAGGAAAAGAATGACTTTTTTTTTTTTTTTTGGTTTGGGCTTGCTTGTTTGATTTTGCCTCTGATGTTTATCCAGTTTTCTAAAAATAAAAATGACATGAACCTGCAGTTTCTAAATTTATCTTGTCTTCCCATTTTGGCTGTGCAGTAACAGCAACATCTAGTGGCTCCATACATTAGCTTACAATAAAAAGCCAACAATTTTGCTATGCAAGATGCATCCTTTCAGCCAGCCAAGTCATGCTGATGTTATTTTCTTTTCTGTGCAGAGAAGAATTCACCATCCCTGCGGGGAAGTTTGGCTTTATTTTGTTGATTTTCCACTTTTCCAAACATCGCCTCATAAGCACCCAACTGAACGTGCATAATAATATTTAAAACAACTTAAACCTAGGATTTAATTTTGATGTGTACAATAAAAAAGTATTTTAATTAAGTTTTAGAACAGGGGTAGGCAACCTTGGCTCTTTTATGACTCGTGGACTTCAACTCCCAGAATTCCTCAGTCAGCCATGCTGAGGGGAAAGGAAGGTTTCCAAGCTGAGCCATGCTGGCTCAGGAATTCTGGGAGTTGAAGTCCACGAGTCATAAAAGAGCCAAGGTTGCCTACCCATGTTTTAAAAGGTTACCTCCAAAGGGGTTAATCTAACTTCAAGGGGGAGGTTGTTCTAAAGTACAGAGGCCATGAATGGAAAGCAGCATCTCCTTGCCTCGGCCCAGCAAAACCTCATGAAAATGGGACACCACCAGCAGATTTCCCTAGAATTGAAATCCTGGATAAGTCAGTTCTGATTTGAGAGGACAGTCCTGCAGGTACAAAGGTGCAAAGACTTAAAGAGATAGAGAGTTTAAAACCAGCACTTCGAATTGCACTGAGAAATCTATTGGCAGCCAGTTCAGAGTCTGCAACAGACATTTGAGTGCCAGCCAGCCAGCAATCTGGATTGTTCCTTCTGAACGATCTTGGAAGGTAGCCCCAGTTACAGTAGTTTCATTTCAGTAGTAACAGTAGTCCAGACAAGCGATAATAAAAGTTTGGGTCACTATAGCCAGGTTCTCTTCAGTCAGGCCTGGGGTGCTGATGGACAATTTGATATAATCTGCATATTGATACTATACCTCACTTAGATCTGACAAATGGCTCTTCTAGCAGCTTCTTATAAATGTTAAAAAGCAGGAGAGAGAACCAAATACAATGAATGTGCTAAATTGTAGAAAAAAGCCAACTAGCCTTGGATCCTGTGGGGGAAGGAACATTCTTTGTGAACCTGCTTTTCAAAAAGTGTGACTGAAATTCCTGTTTAAGAAGTGTATTTACTTTTCAGAATATGAGCTATTTTTTAGAATGTTTAGATGATGCAGTGTAGAATGTTTTTCTTCTTTCTTTATTGCTTGGGCTGCCTCTAAGCAATACTTTTCTGATTTAAAAACGTGTTGCTTACACATAACAGAACCCTGAAGATAATGTGATAGCCTTCAATTAAAAAAACATTTGAATAGGAATGTGTCAATCAATATCCATTAGCAATAATATTTAAATGCAATATACATATACAGAGTTATCATAGCCTCGAGTACAAGCAGTCCTCGATTTACAACCATTCATTTAGCAGACATACAATGGCACTGAAAAAAAAATGACTTATGACTAGTACTTACAATCAGTGCAGCATTCCCATGCTCAAAATGTAGGCACTTAGCAATCAGCATGCATTATGACACTTGCGGGGTCCTGGGGTCATGTGATCATCATTTGCGACCTTCCCAGCTGGGTTCACTTAACAACTGCATGATCCACTTAACAACCATAGTGATTCACTTAATAACAATGTCAGAAAAATCATAAAATCAGGCGTAACACAGTTAATTATCTTGCTTAGCAATGGAAATTCTGGTCCCAGAATTTCATAAGTCATAAGTCAAGGACTATCTATATATTTGGGGTAAATTTGGGGTAAAATGATGGTGTGATGTGTTTGGATAACAGTTACATTGTCTGGATGGAGTTCTAGTTTGGGCTTTTTTATTTTTGCTGATATTCCAATACATTCGTGTTATTTCTTGTTAGAAGGATGTATTATGGCTGGCTTAGACAGACTTATAATTACCACTGTTTGCCGTTACAGTGATTCCATACAGAACTGTGATTATCCCCATTAAAAAGCTAAGCAATGTAATCACTACATCAAACCCTTGGATTTGTGTTTCTGGAGAACTGGGTGACACTGGCATTATGCAGATTCCAAAGAACTTGTTAGAAATGACGTTTGAGGTGAGTTCAGTGTCCTGTCCTTCCCTGACTGCTATGGCAAATGTTGGATTTTGAATATCCAAGAAGTGCTTGCTCAAAAACCTTGGAAAAACTTCTGAGCATAGCACAGCATTCCTGTCAAAAACACACACAAACGTGTGCAGCACTAAGTTGTTGGTATGGAAAGAAACATGCTTGCTGTTCAATAAACCCCGTGTTCTCATGCAACAGAAGAAGTTTTATTCTGCTACTGTTTTCCTTTTTTAAAGATTTGACAGTAAAGCCTATTTTTAAAAAATCCTTTTTCTCCATTGCTCATAACATGATATTCTGGTGATGTTTCATTTCCAGAGTGGTATTAATGACATAAATCAAATTTATAAGAGCCTGAATATTATTGTCAGCTAATGAAATAAAGGAAATTACTAATAATGGTCATAGAACTTTTTCACATAGCCTTAACAATAATTTGTCTGGTCATGTCATTGTGGCTTGTATAACAGCTGGAATTCCATAAGAGTGTGGCATATTTTTATCTTATGGCCCCTGAAAGTGGGGGGGGGGTACTTGGCATGTAGACTTCAACCCCAGCCTGATTTTGCCCTTTGTATTTTTTGTGTCTTCATTTTTATCAGAATGAATTTGTTCATGGGACAGGTGTCCCCTGCATGTTATTACATCAGGGATCCTGAAAGGGATCTAAATGTAGCCTTACTTAAGAAAACCCTATTTAGCCTTAGTCTCCCACATGTATGAATTTATGAGTAATCAAACTGACATATGACAGAAAACATCCACATTGCTTCAAACATAATGCATTTTGAAACATGATTTCACAGATTTAGCTGTCAATCAGCAAAACTATTCAAGTGTGCATGTCCATCATTTAGTATTATATTTGTTTACTCTCCTGGAAGACAAATGGCTCTTTGTATGAATTAACTGCATTGTGCTGGAAGTGACATTTGCTGAAACATACCTTCTGTCTGTCTCATTGGATTTCAGTAATCCATACAGTCATCAAAGAATGGATACATATGCAAAACTAGACCACAATTGCTTTGACTTCAGCTGTTCACTCAGACCATTCATTTGTAATATACATGCAAGCTTCATCAACCCAACCGTATTTGTCTTTTTAAGCGAAAAAAAAAAGTGGGATGGTGGTTTTGCCTACTGTGTATATCAGAAGTACAATTAGGATTTAATTGTTCCCCCTCCTTTTTTTCTTTTTGTTTTACAGTGTCAAAACCTGGGGAAGCTAACAACTGTTCAGATAGGACATGATAATTCAGGACTGTTAGCCAAGTGGCTGGTGGATTGTGTCATGGTCAGGAATGAAATCACTGGACACACCTATAAGTAAGCAGGGAAAACACAAGTAAACCATTTCTAAATGGCCACACAGATTCAGCTTTGTTTTCATCTCCTTGCAGTGTCACATAACTGAATATGATTATTTTCATGTATAAGTAGACCTCAAAGTACAACCGTATAGTTTGTGATTATTTGAAGTTACTGTGGCACTGAAAAAGTGACTTACAATGGATCCTCGCACTTACGGCCATCGCAGCATCCCCACGGGCATGTGATCAAAAATGGACACTGTATGTCCAAGGGTCATGTTATTGCCATTTTCAACTTTCCCAGCTGGCTTCCATCAAGCAAAGTCAATGAGGAAAGCCAGATTTGTTTAATAGCAGTAACATTTAAAGACTTACATACTACCCCATAGTTTTTATAGCACTCTCTGGAAGGTTTACAATGTTAGCATATGGCTTTCCCCAAGGTCCTCATTTTACCAGCCCTGGGAGAATGGAAGGTTGAGTCAACCTTGAGCCCCATCAGGATCGAACTCCATGCTATGGGCAGAGTTAGACTGCAACACTGCGTTCTAACCACTGCATCATGTGATTCTCTTAACAACTGCAATAATTCACATAACTGTGGCAAAAAAGTCATAAAATTTAACAATTTCCTTCCTTAGCAATGGGAATTCTGGTCCCAGTTGTTATCGTAAGTCAAGGGCTATCTTTATCACTTTTGATTAGCAAATTACCCTTCCAGATTAATGTTGCTATTTAGGCTACCCTTTAAAGAAATGTACTACTCTGTTTGCAAATACTAATTTGAAAAATATTTTTGGAACAGTTTTTTTTTAATATGAGATGTTAGAGACTATTGTTTAAAGCTTTGAGACTGCAAAATTTTAAAGAGTTTTTATTGAGGGGTTTTAACGTTCGCCAGATTGTAATCTCAAAGTAGATTCTAATTGTTCAAAGAGAAAATAATTATTTGTCCAATCTGGCAATGCTTTATAAGAAATCTGCGAGTTTTCAAGTAGAAATATACTTTTCTTGATAACTGTCAGATCCAAAAAAGGCAAAACATCACCACAAGCATTCATCTGCCAATAGAAAGTCAAAAGTTGAACCAAGCTAGACCAAATCAGACAATGGTGCTTTCTGTAAATCGGATTTACTTTTTGTACATACATTTGTAATTTGTTTTTCTTGATTATATTACAGCTCTAAAAGTTGGAAAATATTCTCTGTTCTGAATTTTTTTAAAAAAGTGTTATCTTTATAGGAACATTGTGCTTTTGGGGGAGAGGGAAAGTGCATTATCAGGAAGCACAACATAGCTAGAGAAACACTTCAGATTCTATCTTGCTTAGCCAAAAACCAGCACAATTCCATGTCCCTTTATACCATAAAGCACCATTTATCTATGTATACAATACTCAAACAATTCTAGGAAGTCAGTTAATGCGCAGAAGAGTTGATACTGCAAATAACCTCTCCCCCCTGGCTGTATGAATCTTTATGGCTAAGATTATATACCAATTCTGCAGTGATCTCAGACTTAAGGGCTGACCAGAAACAGAATGTGTTATACAACACATGTATGCAAGATGCTGTGAAATTAATCCTGCCTTGGCAAGAACCTAGAACTCAACTGCATTTTCCTCTCCTACCTTCAGGTTCCCTTGTGGAAGATGGTTGGGAAAAGGTGTTGATGATGGAAGCTTGGAACGTATACTGATTGGAGAGTTACTACGATCATCATCAGAAGAAGATTTGGGAAAACAGTGCCGGACCCCCCCTCAACAAAAATCTCCAACTGTGGGCCGAAAATTGAGCATGACTTCCCTAACTGGGAAGAATACAAGTATGAGCAGCTATTGTCAGTGATAGCTTCTTGCATTGCTATCAAACATACAGGATGATTATTGAGGAAAATATTTTGCCAATGAGAGATAAATCTTTAGAATTTTAGTGGACTTTGTGCTACAGGTATTATTTTTCCCACATGAAGTAGGTATATAAGGATCTTGCTGGGTCAGGCCAAGGTCCTATTAATTCAGAATCCTGTTACTATATCAGGCTTTTAAGTGGCATTGAACTTTTAGCCCAGGTGAGGAATTCTGGGAGTTGAAGTCCACAAGTCATAAAAGGGCCAAGTTTGAAGACCCCTGATCTAGATGTTTTAAATCTTCAGTAACATCTCATACACTGCAGCCAGAATCTGATGAAATTTACGAACTGATATTTTTAAAATGGGTCTCTGCTTTAATATAAAATTAGTCTTAATGGACCAAAACTTTCTCAGGCTAGACTAGTCCCAATTTCTGAAATATACATTTTTGTTATTATTTTTATTGTTATGATGAATATCAAAGTATTGAACTTCTTTTTAAATCAGGGACCATTTTTTTAAAAGGAAGCAAAGAAAGCCTAGCCAAAAGCAATTATATTTCTTTGAGAAGCTCACAAGTCTGACAACTATAACCCTGTCCTACATATTGTTGTTTCGCAACAATTGACATTCAAGTATTCAACTCTTCGATTGTAGATACTACAATTGATTATCTTGTACTCCATAAATACAATGTGTCTTTTACAATTGTCTAATAGAGGCCTGCTATTTTAACAGTAATAATGAAAAAGTAACATAATATGCATGAACAGACCCCAGCCTTTCATTCTACCCTCAAGCCACACATTGGCTGCAAGGCCATAAGTGACATGTTTGTGCCATGATATCCTGACATGGATTTGTCACTTGTCCTCCATTAAAACCTACAGTATTGTTGGCTGGCACTGCATCTCATAATAGTGGACTCTGCCTATGCCATCTTTCAAAATATCCCTGCTGCTGTGCTTAAAGTGTTAAATTTAAAGTCACTTCTCTGCAAAATTGAAAGTGTATATGTAAGAAACAGAGGCAGTGCAGTGCTCTGTTCAATTATTGGACTAGAACAGCGAGACCCTGGTTTGAAATTTGGTTCAAGTCAACCCTGGAAATTCACGAGATGATTTTTGGTCAGTCACTTGGTGACCTCCCTCCCTCACCCATCCCCCCCAACTACATCATAGATTTGTTGTAAAAGTAACATTGGAAGAGAGAACACTATATGCATCACTGTTTGGTCCTGGAGAAATATAAATCTAATGAATAAATCACTTATTGTTTTGTTTCTTTCAGAACCTAATGCAGGTCAGATCCAAGAAGGAATAGGGGAAGCTGTGAACAATATTGTGAAACATTTCCATAAGCCTGAAAAAGAGGTAGCCTCTTAAATATTTGACGTATTAGGCATGTTAGCCGATAACTTTAAAGATTGATGGAATGTATTGTACAGGTGGGGCAGAATGATATTTATTTTATATCACATCAGATTCATCATCCTCACAAATAATGAAGTTCATTATCTCATTTTATTAATACCTTATTAGATCCTTGTTAAATAACACTGATCCTGCAGCATATCTCAGACAACTCCATGCATATAGCATACCTACATTTGTATATATCTGAAACTGGCTGACTGAAAGTATGAAATTTGCTTAAACTAGTACAGTCTCCAAGGTGCACAAATCTTCCTATCTTTTCAGCTCCAGCTTCTTTATGCATTATGAGGAGCTTAAAAACAATTATAATGGCCCTTAAAGTCCCTAAACAACTACAAACTTTGGTACAAGTTTTGGGCACTTTGTAACAGGAGCCCTTAAACCAATGGAAGATGTATACTCCGGGTGCAAGCAGTTTCTTGTCTCACTGAAATGTGAAATAGCATTTTAAAACAAGGATTGTGCCATCTTACAAACAATTAAGTTTTTCAGAGACATCTGGGGAGGGTGATCAGAATGGTTAAGTTGTGTTCATGCAACTTAAGACCTGATTTTATTTACACACACAAACATGCTCACATCATATATTTCATTCGGTTAAATAAAATATTACCCAGCAGGATGTCCACAACATTGGTCAAAAAGATCAAGATGGGAGCAAACCACAAAAAGGGTCAGGGTTTCTGTCTGTTGTGTGGTTAAGCTACCCTCTTGACTTTTTGGACCCCTCTCTATAGTTGCCCTTTTTAGAGCCCTGTGACTACCACAATTTTCCAGTCTTTAAGATACCAGAAGGTAATGTTAGATTAGATCAGATCACCCCAGCAAACGGCCTACCTCTCTTCTACACCTTCATTAGAAAGCAAATGTTTGGAGAATTACACAGTGCAAGTTAAACCTCCCTGACCTATCTCCTCAATCCTGTGCACCAAGGAAGGTCATTCTTGGAGACACTCTACCTACATTTCAAAATGAAAACAAATATAAGCCCTTATTTGTTCTGGGGCCTTCCTTATCTCCCCTGTACCACAAACATCTTTTAAAGTGATATATAGAATGGTTAAGATGGGCAAGGGAATGGTTGATAATTGGAAATATATCAAATCAAGAATATACAAACATGTTGTATATGTTGTTGAATAGAGGCCTCTTTGGAGTTACTCTGTTTCTCCTCTATTGTTCCTCGGCCTATAGCTTGATCCATTAAAATTTGAGAATCAATTTGTGATTCTGAAAAGTCATCTTTAATTTTTCTCCAAGATTTTATATACTCCGTAGCTTCCAAGATTTTTTCCAGTATAAGTTCATAATCAAGCTGTGGGTAAGATTCCTCCATTTCAGTGGTGAAAAAATCTTTTAATCTTTTAGTGAAGGCTATATTTAGTAAGAGTCAACAAATATCCACCTCCAATTTCTAATAGACAAATTCACCACCCAGCTGTTCAAGTCCTTTATCTTTTCCCTTTTATTATCATTTGAAGGTCAAAACCATTTTCAAACAGCGAAAAGAAATACAGTTGCAGTAGCAATTTTTGCCACAAGATGTCCTCAGTAAACTGTAAAATCTTTTTTCCAAGCTAATAAAATTTTATCTCATTAGAAAAATAGAAAAACATCTCCAGCATAATAAGTAGAGTAATAATAATGTTCAATGGTAGGAATTTTTTCAGGACCCCTAAGTATCCAAAAAATTAAATAGTCAATAAAAAATTAGCTGTTTTATTTCTTTTGGTTTCCAGAGCTCTTTTTCCCAAGTACACAAACGCCGTTCTCTTAAAGCAGGGAAGTAGTTCAAAAACTTTTTACAGGAAAGTAGTTAGGGTGAAGAGAGGGAAGGAAAGGTCTCACCCGGATTCTCCATCATGTTCTTCTGACTTTTGGCTGGTGCAGCTGGGTGATCAGCCATTTTACTGGCCGATCTTTTCTCCGATGGCCATAAGGAGCTGGCTCAGACCGCGGAAGGAGCTGCCGCCCTTCCGCAGTCAACGAGGGCCTCCTCGATGGTGGTCGCCCGATTAAGGGTCTACTGGCGGAGGGGAAACGGCCAGCGAAGAGACGAGGCTGTCTTCATGACTACATACGCCGCGATCCGGAACCGGAAGTCCTTGCAGTTCAGCAATGTGTTATTTTAAATGCAGCAAAACTGTAAATATTTCTGTCAATTTCTAAACAAGATTGGTTTTTTTCTTCTTCCTGTAGCGGGGAAGCCTTACCGTTCTTCTATGTGGAGAAAGTGGCCTGGTGATGGCATTGGAGCAGGTTTTCCATCATGGTTTCAAATCCGCACGTATCTTCCATAAGAATGTCTTCATTTGGGACTTTATAGGTAAAGTTCTGCTTCTTTGGTTCAGCTAGGCTCTGGGCAATAGAGATCCCTTTGAATAGATGGTGGTTAATTGTTGAGATTAGCTAGAGCAAACCTTCTGATAGTCAGCAGCTGACTTTGGATATTGTACTGTGCTAAAATGTGGTAGGTTTAGCTGGTGGTTGTTTGGTGTAAACTACAAGTAGTCCTCATTTAACAACTGAACAGTTGTTGGCCATTCAGAGTTACGACTGATCCCCAAAGTCACTTACAAAGTTACAACTGTCAACACCCCCACACGGTCATATGATTGCTTTTCAAACACTTGGTATCTGGCTCATATTACAACTGGTTGCAGTATTTTGGAGTCATGTGACCACAATTTGCAATGTTTGTTGCTGGTTTCCCACATTTTTTTCTTGGCTTCTGTGGAAAAAAACCCGCCAATCCAAGAGAATGGATTTGTTTAACAACCATATTATTCACTTAATGTCTACAATGACTTACTTCACCACCACAGTAAAAACAATTTGCAACTTTAAGTCAGGCCATGCAGTGATCCATTAATGACCACAACAACTTAATGACAGAAATTCCAGGCTGAATTATGGTCATTAGGTAAGATAATCACAGTTTAAGTCTTAATAGTGATCCTCTTCAGCCTCCAGAGCCTTATTGACAGCCCCCAGCCTCCCAAATGGTGGTAGTGTAGTTTGAAAACTTTTTTCAGGTAAATGGGGCTTTTAAAGGTGGGAATGATAGCAGTTTTGATAGAATGTTTGTAGCTCAGGGTTGAAATGAAGAGTCCTTGGTGCTCTCCAAGCTTGTTTTCTTACAGACATTTTATTACCAAACTAGGTAACATCATCAGCACACTGATGATGTTACCTAATGAAATGTCTGCAGGAAAACTACCATGCTCACAGGACCCTCTTATGATAGCAGTTTGTCTCCAATAGATAGATCTCTACTCCCATTTTTCTTAACCACCTCAATGTCAGTGTTAGCATAGCCCCTTCTGATAATACCATACCACATCACTTCAGGGCATCCTATCTTCCCTCAAAAATTCCCCATCTCTTGATTAACATTCTTCATCTCTTATTGAACATGTAAAATGTTGTTTATCCAGTAAACGAACAGTTGCCAAGTATTCTTAACCACTTGCTTAATGAGGTATCCATCCCAGGCACCCAGTTTAAATACGAGTAGTCCTCAACTTACAACAGTTCATTTAGTCACGGTTTGAAGTTACAATGGCACTGAAAAAAGTGACTTATGACTGTTTTTCACACCGTTGCAGCCATTTACGACCCATTTTTCACCCTTAGCGACAGTTGCAGAATCCTTGTGGTCATGCGATTAAAATTCAGGCGCTTGGCAACTGACTCATATTTATGACGGTTGCAGTGGCCCAGGATCGTGTGATCACCTTTTGCAACCTTCTGATAAGCAAAGTGAATGGGGAAGTCAGATTCACTTAACAATCATCATACTAACTTAACAACTGCAGTGATTCACTTAACAGTTGTGGCAAGAAAGTTTGTAAAATGGGACAAAATTCACTGAACAAATGTTTCACTTAGCAAGAGAAATTTTGGGCTCAGTTGTGGTCATGGGTTGAGGACTACCTGTACCACTAAAGGGCAGAAGGTATATTTTGATACTTTTACCATTGGTTGCTGTTGAGGAAGAAGTGATACTTCGGATTTAGTGTTTTTTAAAAATCAGAATAGCCAAAATGAGCTATTTCTAAGCTAATTCAATTGTTGTTTTCTGGTGAGTCCTCTGGTTGGGATTTCTTGCCTCATTGCTAACACTGAAAGAGACCAATGATCGAGGCATATGGTTTAACTATTTCCTATACCAGGGATCTTCAAACTTGGCAACTTTAAGACTTGTGAACTGGCTGGCTGAGGAATCCTGGGAGTTGAAGTCCACAAGTCTTAAAGTTGTCAAGTTTGAAGGCCCCTGTCCTATACTATAGACAGAATATCTCCAAATATCTAACGTATCCTGTGTCATAGCTTCTCTTTGTTTAAATAGGTTGTCTTTGCAGAGTGATTCTTAATTTACAGCTCTAGTGTCAAATCGGAGAATGCACAGATTATGTCTGCAGTACATGCCTTAAGGATAGTAGTTAATTCTAAATCCATGGCTACAGTGTCTTAATACGTTAGGAATGCATTTATGGATCTAAATTAGCTATGGCTCTAGCACTGACTTTGCTGTTGTTCAAAAAATCACTCCATACCTAATTGCAAAAATGTTACTGTAACACTTCCTTACTTAATAAGTATTTGCAAAGTGATAATTGCCACAAATAAGTCCTCACCCTTATGACTGTTGCAGTGTCCCCACGGTCACATGACTGTGATTTAGTACTTGGCAATTGGCATGTATTTGCAATGGTTGTAGCATATGAGGATCATGTGATCACTATTTGTAACCTTCCTAATTAGCTTCAACAAGCAAAGTCAATCGAGGAGGCTGGATTCACTTAATGACTATGTGATTTGCTTAATGAACATGGCAAAAAAGGTTGTAAAATTGGGCACAACTCATTTAATGATTGCATCAGTGACAGGAGTTCCTGTCCCAATTCTTGTTGTAATTTGAGGACTATCTGTAGGTGTAATTTAATTATAGAACCCGGGTGGCGCAGTGGTTGGAAAGCAGTATTGCAGGCTAACTCTGTTCACTGCTAGCGGTTCAATCCTGACCAGCTCAAGGTTGACTCAGCCTTCCATCCTTCCAAGGTTGGTAAAATGAGGACTCAGATTGTTGGGGACAATAGGCTGACTCTGTAAACCTTAGAGAGGGTTTAAAACACTATGGAGCGGTATATAAGTCTTGAATGCTATTGCTATTAGTCTCTTCTGTATGAACTTGCAAAGTGTAGCATCTGCTACCAAATGGACAAGGACCAGATTTTAGTAATGAAGCAAATTATTTCCAGGCTGCCATTTTGCTTCAGCCAGTCCTGCTTTCAGACACTTATTAATATGGGCAAATCCAGAATATATGTCACTAGAAAAAAGACCAGCCTCCTTTGCCACTTTTAAAAGCATTTTTATTTTATAAAATTCCTCTGCTGGCCCAGTCACATGACTGAAAGCATAATGAAATTATAATGAATGAAGAACAATATCATAAACCAAGACAGACAATAAAATCATAGAATAAAATAAATACATGTAGCCAGTAACATAATATAGCTACAGCACTGTATGACACCTACATTACTGGTCTTTAAAAGAGCTTTAAAAACAGGGCTCTTGCTCCACGCCTTGGGTTAGGGTACTTGAAGGTCTTTTTGCCTGTTTTTATCTCTGCTGGTGGGGGAGAGAGTTGGTTGCTGTTCCCTCCAGATGCTTTTGTTTATTTTTATATAAGAAGCTACTCAGAATCACTTGAATTGGGCGGCCCAGTAGTTTCATAAATAAATCAACTTCTCCCCCTTTAATCTAGGAATAGTAGCTCTCCATTCCTTCCCTCCCCATCTATCTGGCCCCCATGCCAGTTTGTAAAAAATACAAACAAACAATAACATAGCAAATCCAACCAAAAACAAGGGGTTGCTATAATGGGATGAGTTGGCTATGTGTCTTACTCTCTTAGTCCCTGGAGATGAAGATAGAGCCAAGAGAAAGGAGATAATTACTTTTTGAAGCCAAAAGGCAAAGCTTCAAATCATAGCACAAAATTATATTATCACCTAGGTCACACTGCTGTTTAAGCCTGCATTACTTTTAAGCCTGCATTACCAAGAAAAGCTTTTCTTTGAACGCCTTGTAAAAATCTGAATGCATTTTATCTGAAAATAAACTCAAGGGCCTACTTAATCTCTTAGAAATTTTGAGTCATGTGAAGGCTCAGAAGCACCACTGAGTTCAGTGGAAACTATACTTTGTGCTTTTGATTCATTCCTAAATAAATGTGTTGAGTAATTGAAATAATTTCAGAAAGTCAAGTGTAGTGAAAAGCAAGAGGCAGGGACACATAGGAACACTGCTTCATTAATCAAGTGACTTTTCTGGATAAAATAAATTCACTAAGATACTGTTCTGTGTTTGGTGACTTCATTCTCTCTTTTGTCCATGTTCAGAAAAAGCTGTTGCCTATTTCGAGATGACTGACCAGATTGAAGACAACGAAGACAATGTTGTTCTTCAAAAATCCTCTCGCAAAACCTTTTGCCACTATGTCGCTGCCATCAATACTGCTCCGCGGAACATAGGGAAGGATGGCAAATTCCAAATTCTTGTTTGCTTTGGAACTCGGTATGTAGAGATGTAAACATAAAAAAGCATTTTGAAATGAGCTGCACTGTAAAAGAAAGTATAATGGTATTGAACAACGGAGGCAAGAGTTCTCAGCCTTGGTGGTTGACTCAGTTCATTTTCTCAAAAAGTTGCTATGATGGTGACAAGTTGGAGGAAGGTGTACTATGCAAGCCATCTTATATTCCTGAAAGAAAAGTAGACTGTGAATCTTTCAAATAAATATGTGACTTTCTTAGTATAAACTGATGTCAGAATTGTAGGGATTTGCCTAGGACTTCTATGGCATCATTTGAATTAGGATTTTGAAAGCAAGGATTTTTCATTTGATTTTTCAAATGATAATCTGTATCTAACTTCTATTTGCCTTTTCTTAAAAAAATATCATTTACTATATTACTTTAAGGGTTGTCAGAAATTGTTGCTGTATTTTAATTTCAGTGAAGTATTTTGCTGTCTTCAGGTATCTTTCTAGGTTGTTTAGACCTCATTAGGAAAAATAGATTTACTGTCAAAAACATAAGTATCCCTATTGAGTATAACAAATACTCCTGAATCCCTGTTCTTCCAAGAGGAAAAAAAATCCAGGTATCCTATCCAGATAGAAACAGTCAAATGCCTTTATTTCCTCAAGAGAACTAAGAGTTGAGTATACTGGTTGGAAAAAATATTTCTTGCCACTGTGGCCAGATGATAGAGATGACCAGAAGATAGCCAGTTTGGTCTAATGGTTGAGGCTAGAAAACAGGAGACTGTGAGTTTAAGTCCTGCCTTAGCCATGAAAGCCAGCTTTGGGTCCGTCACTCTCAGCCCAACCAACTTCACATGGTGATGGGTGTTATGGGGAAAATAAGAGGAAGAAGGTGTGTTGCATGTTTGCCACCTTATCTGTAAAAATAATAGAGGTAGGCTACAAATAGGGGAGTGAATGGCTACAAATAGATGGGGGAGTGAATGAATGCAGAGGGCACAGCCACAACCAGGACAATGTCAGATTAAAGATATCTGGGTCTCGGGCAGGAATGAAACCTGAGTAAATGTCTCAGACATGACCCTCCTTAGTTCGCACAAAGAGTAAGTAAGGGAGGGGGAAACACATTTACACTTGCAAGTTTGTGTTACTGTAGATTTTCAATAAAAGTAGTCCTGACCTACATAAAATTCTATCCCTAGTATGATCTACCTTGAAAGGGTGACATCAGCAGCTACTCTTTTCCCTTTCCTGTATTATCAGAGGTACCAAAATGCAAAAAAAGATGGACAACTCAAAAATAGCATTTATTGATAAGACATATGCATTTCAGCCTATCCCTAGGTTTCCACATGATGCGTTAATATGTTATTAGCAAAAACAGCAGAATAAAGGGGACTTCCGAAATGGATTGCCTGAATGCATTGCACAATCCTCTTTGACCAATGGCTTCTTGGCATCCAGTCTTAAATCATGTTTCTACTACTTAGATGCAGCCTGGTAGCCACGATTTGTTTTTTTTTAAACCTAAATCCATTTTGCATCTTATGCAAACAATTGTGCCTCTTGCTGTACCTGATACAACTTGGTGATACTTTCTCTACAGGGATCATTTGCTGGCCCAGTGGATTCCATTACTGGCAGAATGTCCCCTGCTTAGTCGGATGTATGAAGAAAATGCTCTTCTGCGCGATCGCATGATGGTTAACTCTCTCATCCGAGTCTTACAGACACTGCAGGACTTCAACATTGTCTTGGAAGGGTCACTCATAAAGGGGGTGGATGTGTAACATCTAGCTCGCAGACAACTTTGTCTCTTCCCCCTCACACTTCTCTCCTTTCCTTGGGGAGAGGGCAGAAATCTGTGAAAGTGGAATCGATGGTGATCATATCCTGCTCTATGTTTAGATCTGCTTGTTGGTGAATGGAAGTGGCTGTGACAAGACTCACACGCGCATGGTCTTCATACTGATCAGGCCCAACACGGCAAAGGAGCTCAGTTGTAGTTATCATAGTTTTCAAATGAGAGGTTTTGTATAAAAGAGTATTTTCATGTGTTGATTGTGTGTAAATAGGCTTTCTTCCTTTAGAAATGCTAATTGTTTTTCTTAGAATCAGTGTTCTAGGGCCAGGAGTGGGGATGTAGCTTAAAACAACTTTGTAGGGGAAGGGAGGAAGCATTACTTGCGCAAAAGGGGAGGGGGAAACCACTTCATGTTGTAAATATTGTACAAATGTAGTGGGGGTGGGGGAAGGCTCTGTTGCAAAGGTAGCCTGCTGAACTTCTCGTGAGTCTACATTGTTTGCCCCTTCCCCGAATATATGTCGATCTCTTGTTATACCATTTACTGTAGATTCAAACTTTTTGTCTGTGCACTGAAGCATCTCCAGGTCATATAGATTCTTCATCTTCCTGATGAACCACGAACAGGAAGATGTTTTAGAGATTTTGCCATTGGAGATGACAAAAATAGAAAAAAAACAGTATTAATAATTGCATCTGTTAATTACATTTTCAGTTTCCTTATTCTGACCACAGACATATTCCTGTTTTTATTTTGGGGGGCTAACAATGCTTCTTCCACATTACTTTCTTGAAAGAGTAGAAAGAAAACTTGGAAGAAAATGTGATGCTTTGCCATCAGCAATTTAGATAAGAGTTCCTTCAAATTATTTTGAATAAAGACTGCAATCAATCTAAGCTATGCTTCATTTCAAATTCAGTTTGTTGTATAAGTTTGAACTAGCCTTGCAGAATTGCAGAACAGGTTTATTTTACTTGGTTTATTTATTTTCTGGGTTTTGCTGTTTTTGCACTGTGGCAGATTGATTCTATTTGGACAAAAACAAACCAAGGAATAAGCTAGGAAAAACCATACTATGCAAGCCTGTTAACATTCCAAACCACAATAAAAGAGTAATAAACTATACCCAGTGCCCTAAATTAACTACCATTTAGCCCCCAACTCCACTTATATGTCATGACCAACCAAAACCAAATCATAATGCATTTAAGTAATGTGTGAATTCAGCCCATAAATCTGTGTCTATTCCCTCTCCTGTATTTAGAACAGTGGCATTTTGCACATTGCTTTACTACATTGGAGAACTTTCCTATTTGATGGTGTGCTCATATTCTCCTCACAGATTCCACACATGAACAAAAGCCTTGCCGCAAAAATTGTAGATAAGACCCCACCCACATCTGGTTATTATGTAGAAACAGCTTTCCACGCAGAAAATATTAACTTTTAAAGCCAATAGTTACATTACTGTACCTGTGTGATTTGGGAACTAGTTCTCCATTGTTCCTTAACATACCACTCAAAGAAGATAAGGCACATACAGTCATTGGGGAAGCAATGGTGGCACAGGAAATGGACTGCAGTGTAATTTCTCCCATGTAATCCTAGCATCCATAAGTTACCCTGGGAGGCATATACAAGTGCATACAATTCATTGTAAGGGTATGTGAAACTGGCTTTTGAAGGCCAACAACTTCAAATCCATCAGGGGTAGGGGCAAAAGAACCTACACACAGCTACTGCAGGAACAAAGCAAGCATCCAATTATTCCTTACTCTGAACTTTATCCCAGTGATCAGAAACTAGATCCTAAAATACCACAAGGAACCTCAAGTAGATCCCTGTGTAATATTGATGCAGATCTGACAAGATTCTATAGTCATTTGTCCAATGAGCTAAGATGCGATCCTAATTAAAGCTGATGAGAGGAGTATGTGTAGGAGTTACATCATTTTCCTTACTCAATACTATACTTTTCAAGATTAAGTTTTTGAAACTTCAGCTCTTGACTTTAACCTTCTCATAAACACTGAGAACTATTGTAATTTGGCACCAATCCTCACCTTACCCAGACAGGAAAGACTTCAGACTGTAATTCTATTTAATCTCCATTTCACCTTTTTATATTTCTGGAGGTTTTCTTATTTAATGCTTCAAAAATGAAGATCCAGACTCAGATGGAGAAAAGGAATAGAGAGGCTGTCAAAAATACCGATAATATGTTTTACTTTTTTGCATGTTACAAAACTGCCCCAAAGCTGGATCCTAAGGCTTGTTTTCAATAGTATGGCATTAAAAGAAAAAGCTAATGCTATCTGGGTGACTCCATTCATTCCAGATGAACCAGGAAGAGAGCTGGATTGCTCACCAAATTTCTGCTCCATTTTTGCATCCATGGCTCTTGTTTGTAATTCCTGTTCTGCTGACAAGATATTGATGTGAACAATGTTAAATGCATTATTCTTGAAAGTCACAGTCCAACATCTTCACTCATATGTAGTGCTCAGCATCTTCCCTGACAATGTCGTTTCTGTTTCACAGCATATGAATGGTGGTGTGCAAGGAACATTATGTACAGTATATTCTTTATAGGCAATAAAGTACTGTATAAACTATGTAGTATTATTACATCCTTGAGGTATTTTTGAAGCATGGGATTGACCTCTAATAGACTAGTCTATTTGATGACTTCAGAAGTGCAGTTTTTGGTGACTTCTTACCTATAGCGTGCAACATTTTTCCTCCTTTAAACAGGCAGTGCTGATCACTTGGGACCAAGTGATTCGGTCTGTCAAAACATTCAGAAATCATGAAGAGTTAGTTCTCAGAATGGCAAGGCTCATGCTTTCTAAAATTTAATGCATCCTATTAATATCAGTGTTAACCGGCTCTTAATTTTTAGAAGCTGAATATTTAAAATTACCAAAGCTTTCTGTTAACTTACAAAGTAAAAGGAAGAACGCTATGTTTTTTCTTGTATTGCTATGCTAGCATAGTTTTTTTTTAAAAAAAAAACAACACTAGAGAGAACAGAATACAATTGAGAAGTAGATTAATATGTAACCATAATGAAATTATGTTAAATTCAAACCTTGCCACTGCAACCCATTTGCTCAAAAGGTAAGTTTCACTGTGTTAAATGAAACTGCCCTCCAAGTGAAGACTTTTGGGTTTGTGCTGTTAATTGCCTCTTCTGAATATGTTTTAAGACTATGCTTGTGATTTTTTCATTGATATCCACCCTCCTCCCCAAGCAAAAGTGTCTATCACATAAGGAAATGTTGTGTGTTAAACTTGAAATGTACAAAATACCTGGTGTAGTTACTAAATAATTCATTTTCCCCAACCATTGTTTCTTCAGAATATGTTGCTATTTTATCTTTCACATTAGTAGATTAATCAAGATTGGATAATATTCAGGAAATGAATATTGGTTGAAAAGTATTATTTCAAGCACTTTAGCATACATATCACAGACTAAAGCGGGTTTGTTTTTATCCAGGGTTTGGATTAAAACGAAATGCAGCTTTTCATGCAATGGTCTTTACAAATAAAACTGTGAGAATAGCAAAATGTGTCCTGTGTGATTTGTTACCCTAAACAAAAAAGAAACCAGAAAAAGAATTGATATGCTGGGAATTCTGGAATTTTATAAGGTTTATAAATCACCTTGGCAATACACAAGATCAAACCCAGTTAAAAAAAATCCTAATATATAAACATCTGGTTCAGATTACAGGAAGACTGGAAACTCTGCTCTGGATTATTTGCTGTTGATCTGATGAAGAGGTATTAAAAGTCATGCAACATATGTACAATTTATTTGAACAGCCCACACAGTGATAATACAGAAATTACTAATGACATGTTAACTTTGGAAGGATTAAATAATGGATATGAAAGTTATTAAAGGCTTGCAATATACTGCAGGAAGACAGAATATTTTAAATCCTTTGTTTCAATCTTTCTAATGAAAGACTGACATGGCTAGTTTCCATGTTGTACTAATCTGTTTTTAACTGTGGTTTGTTAAAACTAATTGCATAGGGTTTCAGCAGACATAAAATGGGTGGATTTGCAAATCAGTGATCAGCCACATGAACCAAGCCATTGTTGTGTTAATCCAGTTTTACCATTTGCCATTTAAATTACCATTTCTGAAGGAGGTTTTCTACTTTCATTTTTTCAAATTTATCCATTGCCAAGTTCCAGTTGCTGATGGCTGTGCTTCAGCTCATAAAACAGGCCATTTGTATCCATTTGCCCATAAACACAGAAAAGCTTTGAATGAGCTCATATTTCAAAGCTGACATGTGATTGATGGGTGTTTTGTAGAGATGATGCCCTCATAAAATAGGTAAAGTGATATTCAGTAGGAACAACCGGTCAAATGCTTAGAAGAGACATCATTTGACATAATGTTGAGACAATGGAGAGCAAGCACATTGTCAGGATTTTATTTAATTATATTTTAAAACTAACTTTGATATCACTCTTGCAACTAAATTAGCTTCCTTTTTGCGAGGTTCTAATTTATTTTCCCAATTTAGCCAATTTACTTTTAGAATTCCTAGGTGGCATTGAAGTTCTAACCAGGCCCAAATTTTGCTTTGCTTCAAAGTTTAGTCTACATTGGTCAAGTGCTAAAATCTTGCAGCCTGCAGTCCCCAGAACAGGTGGAACAATCTTTTTGCAGAGTGCAAGTCTTGCTTAAGTACTCATTTCATTCATTAAGCCCAATCAGAGTTCCCCAGAATTGACTCAGTCCCTCCTGAGTTGTATGTATGTGCAAGTATGTTTTAAGGAGTAATCACTTCACCTCCTTAAAATCCTCTTGACCCCAAAGCTTTCCCCCTAAAAGGAATCCAGAATTTGATCCACTCATTGCAATGCAACAAGGAAGCAAATGTAGTATTATGTTTTAGCGTTTGCGTTTAACCAGGGACATGCAAACCATGGCTTAAATGTTTTTATATATTATTTTTGTTAAAACTTAAGATACGAACTAATATAAAGGAAGAAATAAAAAAGCCAAAAGTAGAAGGAAAAAAGATGAAAAATAAAGATACAAAAAAATGCCTTCTGATATTCCTCACAGCAATTATTTTAACCTCTCTAAAATTACATATTATTCTTTCTATAATCTATCTTATCATCAAAACATAAACTACAAGTTCATTTTTTCTCATTTTTATGCAAAATCTCCACAAGAGTCTTCCAGTAAATATGTCCTTTCATCAATTTACCAAACTATCAACTTCAGCAATCTTCCACCACGATAGCGTCAAATCTTTCCACACCTATAATAGTTTTATGTGCATATGGTAATACCGCCACAGTAGTCATATGTTGAAACAGCAGAAGTCCCCAGTCTTTTGGGCATCAGGGACCGGTTCCGTGGAGAGAGGTTTTTCCATGGACCAGAGGGGGCGTGGTTTCATGTACTGCCTGCATCCCGCGGATGGTGCTTTGCTTGTTTGCACAGACTGGTTTCTGGCATGCTGTGGCCCAGTGCTGGTTCCTGGACTGGGGGTTGGGGACCCCTGCATTAAAGCAAACTGGCTTAATACTATGAGTGAGTATAGCTTGTATGAAATCTTTGATGACAATCTTGGACACTTGAATAATAGAACAAAAGTTGCTATTACGTTACTGATCATGATCATTCACCCCGTAGTTACCACCCAGTGGCATTACTGCAACAGACTCTATGTAAGGCTGATCTTGAAAAGTACTCAGAAGTTTCAACTGATCCAGAATGCAGTGGCACTTGGAATTCTGGACACACTAAGGTTCACATTGCTGTTCTACAAGCTATACTGGCTTCTCAGTGCAATTCAAGGTTATCCCTTTAAAAGTTTATATGATGTACAACAAGGGTCTTCAAATTTGGCTCTTTTATGACTTGTGGACTTCAACTCCCAGAATTCCTTAGCCAGCATGCCTGGCTGAGGAATTCTGGGAGTTGAAGCCCACAAGTCATAAAAGGGCCAAGTCTGATGTACAAGAACCCCAAAGCAGGTTACTTGCAGGATCATCCAACTTTGATCATCTCTGCCCATCCCATCAGATATGACTGGAAAGACCCACTCCAAATTACCTCTATCACAGTGTCATTTTGTAAGATATGGGAATTCCCTATTGTGACACTCAAGATCCAAAAGTCCCCAACCTTTTTAAACTTCAGAAGATCTGTCTCTTCCTGAGGCATTAGGGTTGGGATGTTAGAGGAGCCCAAATTACACATGTTTTGTGCTGTACAATATTATGCAGTGCCTTGGTTTTTGTGCTAGGATTGTTACTTTGGTTTGTTCTAAGAGTTTTATTATATTTATTTTGGTTGATAGTCATTTATACGAGATGGGCAATCATATGAAATTTCTAAATATAAAAAAATGTTAATGCGCATTCACTACAGTCCCAAACACCCATAGCATAATTTTAAAAACATACATGCCTATTCAAACAAAAATGCGTATTTGATTTTAATCTCACTTTTATTATTTTATAAATACCGTACCTCAAGTTAGTCAACTTATCTAATTGTCTTTCCTCCTCCTATTTTCCCCACAACAACCTTGTGAGATAGTTTGGGCCTGAAAGAGTGAGACTGGCTCAAAGTCACCCAGTTGGCTTTATGTCTAAGGCAGATCTCAAAGTTCCCTACTTTCTAGGCCAGCCTAGTTCTTATATTGAGCAGAAAACACAGACAATCGTACTGCTTATGTGCTAATTTTTTTGTTACCAAGTTTTACACAAACACATAAAAGCACTGTTTTAATGCTGCATGTTTTTTTTTATCATATTTCTATGGCCATGTTGAGAGTTTTACTAATATGGTGCCTCTGTGAACAGCATAGCATCTCAGCTGATTTTGTTTTAAATGGGAGTTGCAGTCCAATGCCTCCAAAACAAACTCAGCTTGGAAGGAGATCTTTTAACAGAAGTTCTCCACTTATGCACATAATATTGTTTATAGCTTGACACAGATGTGAGAAACAGACCTTTAGTGAGAAAGGCATCAGCTGTCCTTTTATAAAGGTAGAAAATAGCTGTTTGGGGGGGGGGGGAATCCTCTGCCAAAATATGGCTATGGTATTTTTATTATCCAGACTTACAGTACAATTTCTTTAGACACTCAAAATGCTACTGCAATTCTGGATTGTAAACAAGAAATTACACATTAAAGGAAATACAATAATGAGAAGCATATGTGAAAATAAAGCTGCAACTGAATGCTTAACTAATCAGATATGGCCTCTAGTTGCTTTGGTAAAACTGAAAGTCAGAAGACAAAATGCTTGATAGTTAAAGTAGAGCAATTTGTTCTGCATATATAGTGATACTGGCAGAATTTGGAATTAGTCCGTTTAAAAGACAAGCTTGTCACATGTGTAATCCTCTCAAGTATTATCAAGGCTTGGTTTAAAATCAATGAACTTTTAAAATCTGTCAAAGTCAAAGCAGTTAACACACACTTCCTGAATCAGCTGTGCATGACTGCATAAACTGCTCTTAACAAACTTGCAGCTCCATTAAGTTACTCAGAGCTTAATTCTATTTACTTCTTTATTTGAATGTGTTTTAAAGATAAAAGCCTCTATCCTGCTATGCGTTTTAAAAGGAACCAGAATTGTTTATGGAAATTGATGTCACATAACATTGCAGCAGTAGACAGAAAAAATGAAATGTAAAAGTTCAGAGCTTGCCAATATAAGTTTAGATTAAATAATAAACTAGTAATTATTTCAAAGCTTTGAAGTAATCGAGCTATGAAAAAATTCTTCTTTATGGTATCAAAAAGGATAGAAGTTAATGGAAAAAACTCTCACTGTCATTTCTAATTGGGAGCCATTTAGAAAGAATTACTTAACATCGTTATCTTTTAAAATTGCATGCATAGGTAACGGGGTCAGTGATGGTCACTGCTAGACAGAGTTGTGTTCACTCAACTAAATCATGCTTTGTATGATCATGGTTTATGGAATAAAACATTACTGACTGGGTTTATACCCCAGACGATTAATAAACCAAGCTTTACTAAGAACAGTGCTTCCGTTTAGAGAATATGCTAAACCTAGGCTAGTGATGGCGAATCTTTTAGAGACCGAGTGCCCAAACTGCAACCCAAAACCCACTTATTTATTGCCGGTGTCAGTGGGCATGGCCCACTGGGCGTGGCTGTGGTGGTCATGGCAGACTGGGAGGGTGTGGCCAAGGTGGGCTCATCCTCCGGGATGAGGCGAGGTGAGGCAGGGCAAGGTTGCCATTGCTGTGGGGCAAGGCAAGGCGAGGCAGGGGCGGGGCAGCTGCTGCCTGACACCATCGGCTCCTGCATACAGAGGCCAGTGAGTGCATGGGGGCTGATGGTGTCCGTCAGCAGCCACAGCCTGCCAGCCCCTCAACCGGTGTGCTCTGGGGCTCCGCAGCCCATCGCCAGCAGTTCAGAGAAGCCACCTCTGAGCTGGACGGATGGCCGACAACTGAGGAGGTGATGCAGTGGATTGTGCCCAGGAAAAGGAGAGTATGCAAGGCCAGGAGGGATGGGACAGGGGGAGAGAAAGCAGCCGTGTTGGGATGCATCCAGCCCCGTGGGACCTTGGTGAGTTAGCAGGCAGCTGGTTGAAGAGGGACGTTGCCATCTTTGAGGTATGGTGCGCGTGCCCAGAGAGGGCTCTGAGTGCCACCTCTGGCACATGTGCCATAGGTTCGCCAACACTGACCTAGGCCAAACAAACCACAAGGTATATTGTGTGTGAACTCAGTAATTAGTTGAGTGGTTGAAAAATCTGTTTTGGGTTCCAAAGCCCCCAAATTCAAGCCTTGGAAAAGTCACTAATAGAAACTCTACTGAACTGTTTTTAGGTGACTCACACAGCATAGTGGACCATAAACACAGCCTTCTGAATTGTGGAAATGCAACTTAAAAACTATTTGGTCACACCAAATATTGATCTGATTTCTTTCTCTTCTGTTCATTTACTCTCCATTTTGTTAATTGATCAAAATAAACCATTAACATTATTTCTGAAAACATTAATTTACAGCATTTTTGCACAACTGTCTAAAAGGTTTGCACAGTACTGTATGTATATATAAGTACAACTAGATTTGCTTCCAGCGATGAGAGTAAGAAAGATTCGTATTCATGTAACTTTTTCCATGCAACACTTGGAAATTTTATTTAAAGTTTTTTCTAAACGCGTTTAAAATTCAAATTTTTTACAAAATGTTGCCTACCCCAACGTTACCTATACGAGCATCCAGGAGGGCTTCATCCTGCCTTTCCTGCTTTGCAAGCCGCAGTTTCCAATGCTAAATCTTCCCCTGCGATAAATAAATCCGGTTTTCTCCAGGAGCCAGCAGTGTCGCCAAGCGTGGTAGGAATGCCTAGTAAGCACAGCAGGTGCTTCCAAAGCAGTCTAGAGAAGTCTCATCTCCTCATGACAGCTATTATCTGCCTGGGGAAATGGAAGCCTTCCTTTTTGCAGAAGCAGCTTTCCCCGCCTGAAGGAATCGGAAGGGCTGCATTCACAAATATCCCCAAAGCAGCGGCCAGTGATCCCACTCGCACCCCAGCGACCTTGCCCAAAATCTACCCGTCAATTGCTCGAACGCTCCTCCTCCAGTCGGTGCCTCCATGCCTGACGTCGCCTACGTCACAATGCCTAGAACCTCCCCTCTGCTTTTCTCTCCCAGGCTTTTCGCTCGGCCCTTTTCTCCCTTAAAAGGACAATGGTACGCGTATGCAAAATAGCTCGATTGAGAATTCAGCCGTGGGAACGGCGCATGCGTACACCGACTAAAAGTTAAACCAATGATTCCAGATCTTGCTGCTCTCCAGACGCAGAACCTAGACAAGGAGGGTGGTGTAGTGTGGACCCGGGAAGCAAATTGCGGCACACCAGACACGATCGGTTTGTTGGAGGTAAGGGAATTCGGTGATTGTCGGTTCCTCTTGGCATTTGTTGAAAGAGGCGTTCTTGGTTAGGGATTCTGGCAAGTTTTGCGTCACGCGTGCAAACGCAGTTTTGAAAAGCTAATCTCTAGGAAACTCATTGATGACTGAGGAAAATGCTTATTTTTAGAGGGAAGGATTGATTTAAAGTATTATCTCTACTTCGTTGGAGGTTTGAATGCACATCATTGCGGAAAAAGATGAATCGGTGTAGGAAGAGGTTGATTGCATTGTTGTGAACATGTGGCCAGTGACAACGACTTTTTTTTTCCCCTGGAGAAAAACAGTTGAAGAATAAGTGCTTTGGAGGCCAGATTGCTGGATGTACAATCCTAAAGGGAATGTTATCTTGTGTACACTTACTTAAAAAGTAAATTCTATTGGACATATTAGGATTTACTTTCAAGTAAATTGCTCAGTGAATGTTTTAATGGAGTTAGCGGTATCCACAGCGATTGAGTGACTGGAACCCTTCGGTTTCAATTAGTGGGTGATAAACTTTTTAAAAACAACTTTTCGAAATCACACAGACGCTTCTAAAAAATAAGGGGAAAGGGGAAGAAATGAAAACAGCAGGTCCATGTATCTTCTTTTACTTCAGACCAATCCCGGAGAACATAACGAATGGGAGCATCAGGGAGCAAAATACTACTAGGGAATGATGGCAGCCACCGTTTGCTCATTCGGGAGCGTATTGGTGGCTGCAGCGGCCAGAGCAGCGTGGTCCGTTACAACTATGGACGCGGCGTTAGCGACAAGGAGAAGCAAAGCGGGACTGGGGTGGGAAAGAAGGGAAGGCGAGGTTTGTTACGGATTTTCTCTTCGGGATTCCTAAACCAGGAGCGGAAACTTCGAATTCAGAACCACGCTGATCCCCACTGTTCCATTTCGAACGCTTTCCGGGACCTTCGAAACTAATACACCTGTAGATGGGATTGAAGAAAAATAAGTTGTGACGCGGGGCAGAGAAGCGAATGAAAGCCCGGGGTGAGGGCGTCGATCTGCGTTTCTCCCGGGAGGGTAAACAGCGGGATGGCAAGGCGCGGTGTAAGTAGATCTGAAGCACGACTGTGGCTTCTGAGATTTGGGGCGGAGGGAGGGAAAAGAATCCTTCGTAGGTGTGCAGCCTGATGCACTTAGCAGGTCGTAACGTTTTTTTTTTTTTTAGTATGCGAAATTCTTATTTAAAAGATTTACAAAGCTTTAACTGTTGCATAGATTTCTCTCATTGGTCGCCGGAGCTGAGTGGGTGGTGATAAGGGGGGGGGGCTGAGGCAGAGTCTTGCCATGTTCAAAGCCCAACCGGAGAACGAACTCCCGCGAACCGTCTTTGGAAATCCCACTTTGATCTTTCGCCTCCTCTTATAAAAGCCTCCTCACTGCAAAGCCGCCTCTGTGTAATCCCCTAACCCATCCCGCCGGGAAAGTCGGGTGTTCCTTTCAGGTGAAAGAGGAACTGGCCTTTTCCACCCTTTGGTGAAGGCGAACAAAGGGCTGCCATGAGCATGTGGCTCTCGTGCTTGGCGAGCTGGGCGCGGGAGTTGGGCCCGTTCTCGACGTCCGCGCCCCGTCCCCCTGACGTGGACCCTCTGAGGAGAGGACTGAGGCTGGGGGCCCGAGACGGGCGCGCCTTCTTAGCGCTGAACCGCAGCGGCCTCAGGACTTTTTCTCGGAGGTTAAAACTTTCCGCTGCAGTGCCCACCGCGCGAGGTATCACGTTGCGTGCAGGGACAAGAAGAAGGAGGCGTGTTTAAGTGCCTGGAGAGCAGGAAGCGGCGCCTCCGACGGATGGGAACGGAGCGGAGTGATGGTAGGCACGGCACCCGCGCGCCCACCCGGGGACCATTGTTTGGGATACTTCGGGGGCCCGGGGCGAGGCAGGTGGGCGGGCGGGCGGTTTTCTTCGCGGGCTATTGGTGCCCGCTGCGCTCCACGCCTCGTGCGCCTGTTTATGGGAGGTCTTGTCGAGCTCGCTTTGAAGTCGGAACTGTTGCCATGTTTGAATTACGTCAGGGCAGAGCCATGAGGAGGAACCAGTTCTGGGTTAACAGGGAGACCGCTCGCGCGCTCGCCCGCCCGCCAGCCAGCTAACTATCCCCGCACTCACCTACTCATCCTCACAATAAACTCCCCCCCCCATCCCCAGTAGCTGCGATTGGGGTGGGGAGGGAAATGAGGGAGATCTTTAATGAACTGCCGCCTGAGCGAGATGATGGGAGGGGGGGGGGCAGCCGCCTTCCATCCCTTTTGTTCTGCGGCAAAACCCTGGGAGTTAAACTTTAAAGCGCAGCTGGGCGACCGATTTCCTTTGCATAACCGGGTAGGCGAAAAGGCAGTTTGGCTTGTTCGTGCCACTGTTGGCTCGATCGACGTAGCTGGTGATTCAACTTGCCCCGTAAAGCCATGCAAGTGAGTTAATTCAGCGAATCGGGATCCCCTTAAGCTCAGGTTAGTTGGTTGTAGAAAGATGGGCACCTTCTCATGCTGGAAGAAAACCTGAAGACCCCGAATTTTGTTTTCGTTTTTCCCAATGCTTTTCCCAATCGAAAGCCCTCCCTTACACCATGTGCTGGTGATTCCGTTCCCTTTCCAGGGATTACTGGATGCTAGAATCTCACGGAAATTGGTGGGGTGGGTGTAAATGTACTGATATCAGAACATCTGTGGCAGTGGATATATCTATCTCTCTCCTTAAAAAAGATGTTCAGACTCTAGAAAGAATGCAGAGAAGAATACAACAAAGATGATGAAGGAACCGGAGACTAAAACATACAAAGAACAGTTGCAGGAATTGAATATGTTTAGTTTAATGAAGAGAAGAACTAGGGGTGACATAGCAGTTTTTCACTATCTAAGGAGCTGCCACAAAGAAGACAGAAAAAGAAGCAATGGATGGAAACTAATCAAGGAGAGAACCAACCTAGAAATAAGGACCAACTTCCTGACAGAACAATTAATCAGTGGAACAGGTTGTCTTCAGAAGTTGTGGGTGCTCCATTGCTGGAGGTTTTTAAGAAGAGATTGGACAACCATTTGTCTGAAGGCCCCTTGACAATTTGCCATGGTCGCAGGACAACTTGCCACAGGACAACTCATTGCTGGACAAAAGTTACACTAATAACAAAGAATTGGTGGAATAGAATCATTAAAGAAAGGATGCAAAAGGAGGAACAGAATGAAGTATGATCAACAAAAATTAAAAATACTTTTTTATTTTATTTAAATAAATAGAATTGTTAAATTGTTCCACAGTGAATTGTCCCATGGCAAGTTGGCCATGTCAAGTTGTCCCCTGGCGAGTTGGCTGCAGTGAGTTGGCTGTGGCAAGTTGTCCCATTCCCTTGTATGAAATGGGTATAGGGTCTGCTGCTTGAGCAGGGGGTTTGGACTAGAAGGCCTCCACAGTCCTTTCCAACTCTGTTATTCCTCCCCCAACAGCATTTGTGCAGTCTAGGAGACAAGTATTTTGCATCTCTTTGAAGCCACCCAGGCAATGAGTTGCCATTATTTGGCATGAAACTGGTTGAAAAGAAAATAGGAAACCTCAACATTGCACATATTGGGAAGAGAGGATTGCTAGAGGCTTTTCAGCTTTCCCACAGGAACCTTGTTTTTACTTCTGAAGTTCTCACCCTGCCCAATCATTAGGTTATTATTAATCAAATCATGCCTGAAGCAACCATAAAGTTCTGGGTGTCCATCCTGAAACTTTATGGTAGTGATTGATTGGGGCAGAGAAAGGAGCGGAGAGGAGTATCATTGCAACGAATGAGAGCCTTTAATATTCCTGAGCTTTGCCTCCTTTTAAAGAAGATTTGATAATGCAGATCTTGATGAACATAGTTTCTGGCGCTTTGTGATTTGGCTGCAGGAGGGAAGCTTCTGATTTTTCCTCGATGCACTGGGGTCTGTTTTGAAAAGTAGGTCAGCTTTGGCGAGATGGACACAGATGGGTGGTCTTTGTTTGAGGCACAGCCTCCGTGTATGCCCTGGTGTGGCCTTTCTCTCAGTTGCAGATACTGTTTTTATTGCTTCCTTGCTTGGAAATGCCTTTCCACTTCAGTATTTTGAATTTATAATTTCTCCTTTCCCTTAAGGGCAGTGATCCGTATTGAAGGCAAAGAAGGTTGGGAACTTTTGAAACAGGGCATTACAAACACATTTCCCCCCATCTCAATAATGTGGGTGTTCCACATTGATTGGGTGTTCTTTTTTTGAAGTCAAAACCTTATCCCATTTTGTTCAGCATTCCTGTGTGTACCTCTGTGGTGCAATAGCAGGTTATTCCTAAAATACCTTTGATCTTATTGGGTACTGCCATTGGTGGCAGCCATATGCATTTTACATAAAAATAACACTCATTGAATTAATAGCGTTCATACGTGAAGTCCAAGTAAACATAATCACATCTGCTGAAATTCTGCCTTTACATCTGTACCTCACATACCAAATTATAAAAAATTGTTTTAAAGCCTGGAACCCATCCTCCCTCCTTCCTTCCTTCTTCCTTCCTTCCTTCCTTCCTATATTGACACCATTATATGAACAGCAATAATACATTACATCTAAATATAAAACTCTTTTTCAAATTGCAAATGCCTTTTTTTGGTCATAAATACAAAAGCTTGTTAACATTAAAATCAGGTAATCCAGGGAAGTTTAGTGATTGTTGCATCAATCTTTTTTCCACAGCAACTTTAAGAAACAAATTATCTTTTGGTGCCTGAATTCTAATAGCAACAACCTTGAGAAGAAAGAATGCACTGTTGTGAATTCCAAGGCTAAGAGATAGTAGCTTGCTAGTATATCACCCAGACATTTTTTCTTGGTAGAGAAATTATAATGGAATTTGATGGTCCTTGCAACACAGCATGTGTGCCAAATGCACAACTCATAACATCTTTATAATAGGTTTTTGTGGTACTATAGTGGTCCATTTTTCATGAACATACTAAGATGCTTTGGTTTTGAATCGTTAATATTTTACTAGAATCCCAGTCTCACATATTCTTAAATGTATACAGAAGTTTGAAGAAAAACATTCTGGATTTTATGGCCTTGAATATACCTTTATTGGTGAAAATCATGGCAAAAGAACACATGGATTACAAATAGGAAGTGTCAGGTTTAACCTTGGCATTTCTTATAGGGTTGAGAAAGATACACCATCCTGCTTGAAACTGCAGAGATACATCTGGACCAGGGGTGTCAAACTTGCAAGGTTACGTGACGTTTTTGTCATTGCCGGCAATGGGGTGGGCATGGTTTCGCTATGATGCATCCCCAGCAGTTTTGACACCCCTGATCTAGACTATCTAAACTTTGGCAACTTTTAAAACTTGTGGATTTCAACTCCAATTTGAGGCCTATAATGTGACAGATAGACATTATTGGTCCCTAGACCAGAGGTTGGAAATTATTGCACTAACCCTATCATAATGTGAATATCTTTTCCAGCTGAAAACTAAATCTTTGTTCTTCCTGTATGTATAACATCCATCTGGATTCTGTTTTACGTCCTTTCCTTGGTGATGATAGTTTTTATACACTATGTGTCATTTTGCAGCTAAAGGACCAACAGGAAAAGGACCAACTTTAAGCAATTCAAGTAAATCCAAAAATAGCACATGAGAAATATAAAGAAAAGTAGATTTTAAAAATAGATCTTAAGGATTATGTTGAAATGAAATTGTCTTCACCTTCTTGCAGAAAAATGGAAAAGACTGAGCCAGCCATAGAATCTGGAAGATTTGGACACATTTTGTTATTTATAGAATTGATGTTGCATATTGACAGCTTATGGCCTGGGACAAAAGATTCCAGTTGAATACCACAACTTTTCTGGTGTGCAAAGGAATTTGTGTGTATACAGTACACAGTGCACTAACAAGCTGTTATTTTCAGTTCCTTTGACAGAATATCTATTTTAGTGGTGGAAAGAAATTTTCTTTGATATCTTTGTCCCTGGACTGAAAGTGAATGCCTTTAAAAATGTTTGCCATAGTTATACAAGCGGTGAAACCAGAAGGGGTGTTTTGCTAAAAGTGTGGCTCTTTAAGCTAAAAGTACAGGAATCGCTCTCATCCATACTGTGGGAACCGAATTCTTTTCACATACAACAATGCTGAACTCATCTAAGAGAGAAACCCTGAACAGACCCATTGAGTTAGAAATAAGTCCCACTCTGTTCAGTGTTCCTAGGGATCCCTTGCATTAGATGTAGTCAAAAAGAGACAGTGTTTTGTCTTCAAAGCCTCCCCGCCTATCAGGAATTCTCAGTGAGATGGGAAGGCTGTGGTCTGAAAACTCCAGCAAGGGGGGGGGGAGTAAATTCCTGAGTGAAAAGGCTGCTAGTGAGATTAGTTGAAAATGCCCTGCTGATTTTATTCTTGTGTACATTTTAATATCCAGGAGGATGGAGCTGCACTTGATCCTACCTAGCTTCAGGATAAAACAAGAATAAACAAACTGCAATCTACTGTAATCTTTGTAATGGCAGAAATAGTTTCTGACTGTTATGTTATGACACGAAGCACCTTCGGTGCAATGAAAATGCTTTTCAGCTGTGGAAAATTGGTGGGGGAGGGCTAGTTAAAACATTGATGAGTTCTTTTTGGGTGCAGGTTTGTCCACCTGTTTGTTACCTTTTATAAAAGAGCTACCACGTATTTTCACATCTGGATGTTTCTGTCATAACTAGGCTACATCATTCAGAGTTTAACATCTCCCAGAAATCTATGGTGGAGAACTGAGAATACAAAGATGAGAATGTGTGATGCTGTCACTTTTCTGTATGCCAAAGGTAGACAA